ATTCATTTGAATGGCTCCGTGCTCGAGTTTTAGAAATGCTTCGCGATGGTAAATCTACCTTCATTAGATGTTCTGAGTCCGCCGCTGATACTGCTGAGACCTCTGAAACATCAGAAACAGCTGAATTTGCTCTCGCCCTCGGTATCCGTTCGACATCGAAACTTGATACTATTGGAGTCGGCGGTATTTCTCTCAATTGGATCTCATCAAAATCGCCTCTTAATAGTTCTGGAAATCGTGAAGTTTTCTCCTCATGATCATTCAACATTTTCCTAGCTCAAGTATCTATTATCAATCATTAAGAATCTGACTGCATCAAAATTTCGTAAAATCGTTGGTCAAAAGGGAAAAAACTTAGGTCCAAGATGGGTGAGTAATACTTCTTTGTGCGACAACTCTCACCTTAAGCTCCCAAGGAAAATGATGATGAGGATTCGGATGGACAGGATCTTACGAAATCACTCATTTCGCATCTTGGGGAATAGCTGAGGCGGGGTATAATCCACGCCGCTGACAGCCTGTGTGGCACAGAGTCAAGATTTGATGACAGACATGAAGAAATTCCTATACAAATCTATATGAAGCTTCCACTGAAGAGCAATCTGCCCGGAAGGATGCCATTCCATGTATCTCAACTAGGATAAATGGGGGCTGCGAGCGATAAATAGCTACAGTCAGAAATAGGAGTTTCAAACTTAATAATGGTGGCGCAGCATAGGATTGCGCGATTCTGTAACCATTAATAGTTTGTGAAGGAGTTTCATGATGACATATAACAGTTATTAACTGTGCTTGAAGATCTCGTGTGGTCTAGACGCCGTTGTAGCCTTGCGGCAAGTGCAATGATGGATAGGTAGACTACCTCCTCATCCCCTCTACCACTACAATCTCAGAGTACACTCGACCAATCGTAATTTCAATGAACATTATGTGTCACATACCTACAAACACATAATTTGATGAATTCGGGAGGTTTACCTATAATAGGCAGTTGAAGGATTGTTCAGAAGGTGGGAGTGGTAAGCTGACAGGGGGGCCAAAAACTCTTGCTTATCGCTGCCCTTATCACATCAGCGCACCGAGGTCTACTTTTCCATTTAAATAACATCTGAATCTCTTGGACGTGGAGATTTGAAGAAGAAAACAAGTTTTTCAAGCCACTGAAGCCTGTTGTATCACGAAGTTGTGGCTTCATCACATTTATCACAGCATAAGAGCAACACCTACGCGCTGAGAATGAAAGATTCTAATTCGACACCACAAATCGCGAAATCGAATGATCATCGCAGGATGGGGGCGCAATTCAAACGATTCTCTCCCACCCCTTGAATTTCTGCACACAAAACATTCGGAGCGTTATGGCGATTCAGCCTGGCATTCTTGTATTCGACAGCAGACATCGCGATGGTTCAATTGGTTGCCAGTCTATCCCCCGAGCGTATTTCAATCAGGCTAAGATTTTGGTATCATCAGCATTTTGATGCCCAATTCACATGCCTGCGATAAATACAATGTTGATTTCTTCGCGGTAGAAGTTTCCATACGAGTGTGCGAGAAGTCTAGCGAGCCTTTGTTAGACGTGCAAAAAAGACATCCACCAGGTGGTCAGAACGCTTTATGAGATGAGCTAGTCACTCAATACATTACGTCTCAAGCCAATCCCTGGGGTGATTTCAGGCGGCGGACACTGTCAAAAGTCGAACTAGACCATTGTTTTCCTGTCTGCTTCAAATGAATCTAGTTATGGCTACACACATCGTCACTACCAAAGTCTCTCTTCATCTGTATAGAAACGAAGCTTGCTATGGGTCAGCAAATCTTCAATGGGTCTAGATACATACTCAATTCCGTAGTAGCTTGTGTCAAAATTTGCGACACCAACGAAACTGGTTATCACAGGTAATCAATGTCCAGGCAGCTAATTGGTACCAGATAGCTGGGAGACCATACATCATGTATTTTGACGCGTCTCGTATCTTATTCATACCAAAATCCTGCGACACGTATATATGTTGACACGACAGATTGATTAGATTAATATTCGCAATCACTCGATTGGCTTGCAGCTCGAATCTCTGCAGCGCGTACTACGACAACTTGAGGACATAGTGCTTACTGATTAAGAGATGTCATCGACAAGGGCTCGGCCCGCTCATCTATTCGTTGATATTGGTCCTGTGACCCGATCGTTCCGATGCCGTGGTGTCATCTAGTCCTTCTAGAACTCCGATGTTGAGGCTTAAAATCTAGACGAAACCGAGTTATGATGTCCCACGTTTCTCGGATATAAACAACCACTATGCAGCTGACATGGTGCATAGAGAGACGTCACAAGCTCCTGCATGTTCTATATTTCCGCCGCTTTTATTTTGCATACGAAATCATAGAATATTGAACTAAGGCTGCATATTATCGCATTGTTAAAGCGACAAACATGCCGGTCGGAAGCGTTGAGGTTGATGCTTTAGTCATCGATATCATTCCATTCTCACATGTAAAATATCCCCGTGGCCCGATCTTTAATCAAGTTGAAAGATCTTGAGCAATCTAATGATGCATCCGAATGTCCACATCAATCTTTGACTCTAGACGCCCAATCATACTATCTAAATTCGCTGCTAGAGTTTCCGCGCATTGAAATGTTATTGAGTGAACATAACGAGCATATCCAATATTGAAAATTAACACCAACTTATCCGCTACCATTCTATTTTCAATGTCTAATAATACCAGAATTCCTTCATTCAATACCTTCTGTTTATGCCCCGCAGTCGTTCAGACCCATCACGCTAATGCATGAGATAGCGGCCCGAGCCGCAATTAGCAGCCTCGCGACGATTCCGCGGGCGAAAAACCTACTGGCAAAGTTGTTTGCTCTGATAACCTTGGAAGACGTCGAGAGATAATACTGAGACTAAGTTGCGTTCCGCAGTGGCAGGAGGCTTATATCACCAACAAATAATGAGGATTACTAAAACTGAAGCCTTGTTCTGTGATCCCACCCTAGCTTAGTTCAGTCTGCGGAAGATCCGGATGGAAAAATCGTAGACTTTTTTTAGTTGTTGCAACTCTTGATGCGATAGGATATCGATGATTGAACAAGAGACAGAGCGGTCTGCTTGAAGCCGGTGCTATACATGAGCTTCTAAGCCTATTCCAAAAAAAACTGTGGCTAACTTACATGCACATTTTTATACTGACTTCAAAGCAAAGTCTTGATGTCGTGGAACTTCTGTGTACGACTGTTTTAGTCACTTTGAGTCAGCTCAAATTATTGAATTGACAATTTTCTAAATTTAATGAATATGAACTGTATAAGAACTTGTACAATTCAACGAATTGGAGAATTTCTTTTGTGACATTCTTGCCTAATCTTGACACAGCATGATGAGAACTAATCTTAATGAGAGTGTGTATTGCTGGTAAACAGGCTATATCCTTGAGTATGTATTTTTCTCAAGCTTGTGATAAGCTGAGATACGGTGTTTCTTTCCAATCGGCAATATAATCTCTCAATGGAAGAATGAATGAATGTATATCGTGACGGTCGTTTTACAGCCCTGGTGATCGTTACACTCTACCCAGCTACTCGCATAGATTAGACTTCAAATACTGTGCAATCAAGACCTTTTATTGTCTGGAAACAACTCCTCATTCAGAAGATTTTGAGATAATTAAGATGCTCTAATAGTACTCGGGAGATTAGATGTTCTGGTTGCCAAACTACATCCAAACTGAGATGCGTCGTTGCGACTTTCGGAATCAAGTGTATGGATAGATGAGTACAAGTTCCATAATTGATTCACTATGCTTTTACGAGATTAAGTGTGATGATACCGTATTTTCAAGGGAGTTTCCCGAATTTCGATTCGCGTAACCCCACGGAACTAGTTTTACAACTCACTTACTGGGATCAACGCTTACTTCCACAAGAACGTTTCCGCATATATTCTTTCAAGAAATGAAGCTAGAGATCATGGGTTGTTTCCCAGAGTTCCGTCAAAAATGAGGCTTACTCTTTCATCCAAGATAACGCATACAGCTCTGAGTATTGCTTTTAGACATAAGATGACGATCTCAGCGAGCTGATTGTACGAAACACTCGGGGAAGATAGAATGCGTGGGTGCTTATCGGAGTGATCTTATACCCTGCATATCCTAGTTGAGGGAGCAGAGTCGAATTAAACCCTGCATGAATACTGTGGTTACAATACATGAAGATTGAATGTAACCATCCAAACAAAGATTGTTGAAGTTCAAAGTGAATACAGCCTGGTCAAAAATTGATGTAGAAAGGTTTGCTAGTGTGTCATCTATCGTAACGGGGCCCCGCTTTCGCTAATCATGATATGAACACTTTGCGCACGATGAATCCAGATTTTATCTGAAAAATGATAGATTTCAGTAGGTCTTTATTTCACTACTATCACTACTAAGATTAGTGATACGTGGACGTTAGACCAGGGGATGGTGGGTGGAATCCAAACTCCCCCCGCATTATGATTGATTTTCGCTTACTTTATGTCACCCTACTATCACCGGCGAATTGACACCCAGTATTTATGCATGAGGATCTCAGGGTATGATAATTTCTTTTGCTCACTCACCCATGCGGCACAATCCGTTAGAGATTAAACGGCTTAATTTGATACGCTCTTGCCAATTCTAAATCAAGTTTTTCCTCTTATTAGTTCCTTTATCGCATTGTGCAGGAAATAATTGTTCAGATGACCACCCTCACAATCTAACCCAATTTCAAGATGTCTGCCACTTTAAGGAAATCATTCAAATCACAGATAAATCTAATGGAGGCTATATTATTACTCCTCCATTGAGCTACTCGAATTCCTCGCTCATATCTCTTGTGAATGGTCAATTTAAGTAGAAAATCTCTTGGCTAGCTGCCCTGCATTGCCTTCATTGCTGGATTATCTGCAACTCTGCAGAACCATTCCTACTGTTTCTCCTGATTCTCCGTAGTCACTGCAAACTCTGTGCTGTCAAGTTGCCATTCCCTCACGTGTCATCGTAGTTGGCCTTTCGGAATAAAACACTTGGAGACTAGGTAGATCAACTTCGATTGAACGAGCATTGGATGATTCGACTTGCGCTAATCCTTCTAATGTCGATTGATGAGGTAGATTGTTGCAAGGCTCGTTGTTTTTATCATCGCGTGGATGTGCTATGAGAGCAGCTGCGGTATCTTCAGCGGTAGTCATGGAAAGTAGAGTAGGATGAGAAATGATCATTGTACTTTCTTCCCGGTGATTTGAAGACTGCTGAAATTCTGAAAGTTTTCCCTCCGTGCTCATGTTCTTCACTTCTTGACTGTTCGTAGGCATTGAGGTGTTGCAAGCAAATTGAAAATAGGCAACAATCAACTTCGCCCATGGGGATGGCGATGAGTCTGGCTCTTTTTGTAGCTGTAACCCAATAAGACTCGCTTCTGATCTAGATATGAGTATCCTGTGTAGCAACCATTTATTGATTCGATCACGTTTGGTGCCAAATTGCGTTAGTAATTCAGGAAACGATTCCGTGCTTGAATGCTGTTCCGGGTCGGAAGTGCTCATATGGTTGTTCTCAAGCAGATCTAGGTCGGGCACTCCAGAATCTGAACCAGGAGCTGTTTCAAGTTGTTGCTCTTCATCGTTGATAATTTCAACAACTTCTGGATCCAATAATAACGTAGACTCATAGTGTGGCTCCTGGTGCCAATCCCCTTCCTCATTTTCTAGTCCTAGCAATATTGAATCTTGATGTACTCCAATGCTATTCAGATCAATTGAAAGTGGTCCCTTACCCGATACGTTCATGTGGGAAAACGATTCCACGGAGTGTCTGAAGCGGATTGCCGGAACAAGTTGAGTTTCGTCATGGCTGAATAACATTCTCAAATCGTGCACATCGGACCTTTTCTTTTTGAATTCGTCGATGAAATCAGGGGATTTGTAATTGTTTTGTTGTTCATCAGTGATAGTAGAGACTGTCTCCGATCGACAAATTTGGTCTCTGGTATCTCCACTTTGTCGCTTTTGAATTTCGTGATTATTCGTAATGACTAAAGGAGAGATTCCCAAGATGTCGTGTGCTGAGCTTGAGCTTGAAATCACCGAAGACTCATGATAGCTTTCTCCAAGCTCGGATGCAAAACTTTCAAAAAGTTCATCTTCTACTTGTTGTAATTCCCACACCTGCCCCTGGACTTTTTTCTGGGCCTCAAAACCTTCATGTTCTAAAGGACCCAGTCCATCACGTGCTGATTGACAAGCATTCGCAAGCTTGAAAAGCTTCTCAAAAGCTCCAAGTTGTCCTTCTGCTTGTAGTCGTTGAACTTCTTTCATGAAGCTAGCATCTGCTTGAGAAACAGCCGATCGTTTGATTTCCGCCTCTCTCATCTTGTGCCTAGCTTGCATCTCTGCCAATAGCACTTCCTGCCATTTGTTTATTCCCTGCAATAGTTTATCCAAGCGAGATCTATACTTTTCGGCTCGGGAATCACTTTCGCCGTCATTACTACACTCGCCGAGCCCATTCCGAGGTATACATGCACCACTCTCACTTGGTCTGGATTCCTCCTCATTCTTCGAATTTTCCCCAAATTCAACTACTGCCTTAGAAGAAAAAGAACTAGGTCTTTCGATTTGACTGCTTTTCTTGTTTCTGTTTCCAGTCATATTTAGTCTCCGACAGAGAGAGGCCTGTGGTTGAAGTTAGTATATACCAAAAGATTAGTCCCGAATTTGCTTGTGAGGGAGACATTTTACCAGAAAGGACCTCATTATGAACTTTCAGTGACTGTTTAAACGCTATCACTCCACGGAGTACCAAGGATAGAGGCCAAAGCTCATTTTGCGATTTCTGCGCGATATAAGTCAATTATCGAGCTATGAGCTGTTCACCTGTGTGAATGACTGCTTTATCTAGCGTCAGAGAGCTTTAGAATATTTTAAATTACTGAAACTCTTTATTTTTTCATTTTAACCAGCCCTGAGGTAAACTTAAGACACGATGTAATTATGAGCTAAGCCGATAGGGATCCAATCCAAAAGCAGCGTTCCACTGGTGGGTCTATGCTTCGACGATTCGACCTCATTTGCAAAGCCCAATATTCTCACCACATTCCACGATGCAACCATCAACAAAAGTTCGAGTTGTTGCTGGCCGTGTAAGCTTCCAATAATACAACCTCCACATTACCACTGGATCGGTATTGGCGCAGCGATACAGATTTCTGACAAATTAGGACACCTTTTCCATCGAGCGTCGATTTATTAGCAGCGGAAGAAATGCTGCTAAATAGGTCTCTGGGTGCGGCTCTTCATGAAGTGCGGAGTCAGGCTTATTATGCAATCTATAAAAGCTCCACATCGACCCGGACAGTGGGTAACATTTAATGCTGAAGTAACGGATAAGCAAATCGCTAACTATGTCTTATCTTCCAAGCAAAGGTAAAAAGTCAGACCAGAGCACTCCTTGGAGTGACTGGATCTGGCTTGAGGAAAAGGGCTACTGGTATGCTCATCGAACAAATTCCGAAGGAGACAAGGAGTACGAGTATCGATACCCTGATAAACCTGAGAACCGAGCAGTGACGCCCAGAACATCGGGGTTAGCTGACATCTATACGATACCCCAAACCAACGATTGCAATGGTTTCGACCATGATGCAACTCCAAAGCCATTTTACGCCGCTCCAGTCCCGACCCATGATGACTATGGCTCTCCGGATTCCACAGTCCAAAACTATGGTATAGCTTCTACCGATCATTCGAGCTCGAATTGGTCATCCGAATACTCTTCTTCGGGCAATGCTGCATGGCAATCAAACACAGACGTAGCTTCGCCGTCAATCGACGCCACAGCACGTGCATTTGATGCTATGTCATTGGCAACACCGCATATTCCACCTACAGGTATGATTACCACTTACATTCCGTTGCAGACTTTTTCTGACAAGGAAAACAGGAACATTTGATCCTGAGGTGAGTCAGGCAATTGTAAATGCAAAGCATATCTTCAAAACTCCAAACACCGGCAATGCCGAAACTTTGGATTCCAGTAAGTCTGCATCGTTAAGTTTTGAAACCACCGACATTAATGAGATGCAGGATATACACTCTATGGTGGATTTCGTCTACAAGACGACTTTTGGAGGGTGGGCCGCGTGTTCATGATGTTGTGGACTGAGCCAGCACAGCCAAAAGTTCCTGTAACCGGAGGGACACGCAATGGATCTCACTTTAGCACCACGTTTCTTGGACAACAAGCATATAGTGAGATTCGAAGGTTTGTGGTTTTGATAAAGGGTCATGGGAATTCTGTTTGCTGGTGTGTTTTCTCCAACAATATGCTTACAATATGTTTATGTGCTTGTCTAATGATGCTAGTCCTATACAAACATACTCAGGACAAGCAACGCTCAAGCCCAACCTTCCGGCTCCTGAACGACATACGATTATACACACAACACCGCAAGCTCCAGGAATGCACAGCCGCGTAGCCATTAATGGTGAATTGGAATACGAGAATCTCATCTTGGATCCTATTCAGGTCGATAGTGAACGAAGAAACGAATCTGAGGGTCTATTAAACTCATTGAGTCGACTAAATTACAGCAAGGTATATACTGTAGAGCATTATGTCCGTGTGTTAAATATCGGTATGGTATCCAGCAATTCGATTGGTGTTTTTCTCTACCAGTCGGGTTGGTCTCCAGGTATTCAAACAGTTGAATCACAGCGTCCTCGTTCAAACGTTCAACACAAAAGGACATCTGGTCGTTCTTCCAACAATCATAGGAATCGCCACTCTCATAAGCATAATTAGGGGTATCTCTGATTGGTTTACAGAAAGACTTCTTCACAGTCAACTCGATACGTTAAGCTGCTCCACACCCGAAAGTTTCCTCATGCGCTGCAGGAATTTTCTCTGACGCCACGAATCTCTTTTTTGTTTGTTTCTTTAGCACCCAACGTTCGTCATAGCTTTCCTCTGTAAATGTGTCTGCCTTGAATCTTTTCTCTCGTCTCATTTGTCCATATGCTCCCGATAACTCCCCAGATTTGGTTTTCTTGAAGGTCGAGAGATGAAGGGATATCTGAAACTTTCACCAATTTCCAGAGCACAATCTTCTTTACTGAAGCGGGGCAATAACCTGTTGTTTATTCACTCATTTTGATGCCATTCTCATGATTGATGACACCTATTTCTTTGGGCACATTAGCCTCTCTTATAATAAGCATAGAGAGCGATTCAACTCCACTGTCACTAAGCGGCAAATTCACGATAGCGTAAATACCTCTACAATATGATGGTATACCAATGCGATAATCTTCGCATAATGAGTGACCAACAAGATCAAATAGTGTTGCCTCATTATCTCGCCCTGAAAGATAAAGGCCAACGTTCTACCACACACAAGAGATATACACTGAGTTTACTATACAAGATTTGATATAGATCATTTTAGCCCCCAAAATAGCCCGCTGCTTTTCCCAAAAGAATATCTAATGCAATCACGTAGCCAGAACAAACAGCTAATCAGGTAGATCAGCCACTCACTCGATCCCACGTCTACGCCACATCTCATTAGGCCCAAAGACATGTCCATCCGCATAACTTGGGCAAGACTGCATTCAAATTTTGAGTTACTGCACTTAGTGCGTTTTCATGCATTATTCTGTCAACAAACTTTCAGTTTCATGCACAAAATCCGCCAAATTTGCATCAATCAGAGCGATCTGAAAAAAGGGGCTCTCACCGCCTGTGCCGCTTCCCTTGCCTCAACCTTATACATAGGTATTTGAACAAATTTAAAGCAGCGATTTACAGCCCTGTTTGACATAACTCGTATGATCCTATTGGAATGAGGAAGATCTTAATGACTATTTAAGATTTGATTTGAGGCTTTGTATGTTTTGTGAGAGGTTTTAAGAGTAGCGACCACCAGACATATGCTTGACTGGGTGATATTCAATGGCTTAACATTACTTCATTTTGATGAGCTGTGCCTAAATACGCTTACGCTAAATTTGTATAACAATCAGATGTTTGATTGGAATAAAAATAAAGTCGTAACTCGTGGGACAAAGCTATGGAACGGCCCGGATGAGTGGGGAGGACTAGTATTAGCTGTCAGCAACTACGGGCATATGTAGTGTTATACAGATGGGGAAGTCCATAGGCTGATGTTTCATTTAAAGTGGTATTACCCGTATCTTCTACTTCAATGATAATCTGACAGGGCTGCCCAGTGCAAACGTATCTGCGGTCGACCGTGGTAACTGCTTATTTACCCGTCTCCGCCATGTAACTCAATTAGTTGGCTCGCTTACATCATGGGGTTCAATCATGATTTCGAGATTCCATATAGCCTAAAAGAAAAAGTTCTTATAATTCCTACTAACAATTATGGTACATGCATATATATAACATTGTAGAAAAAATAGAGGCACATTCATTCCTTTGCGGGTTGAAAATTTGATATCATTAACTATGCACTCGAGCAGGTGAAGAGTCGATCAGTTAAAAGGGTGATTGATAATTTAGAAAAAACGTGTAGAGAGGAAGCGTGGCAGAAGAAAGAAAACGATAAGGAATTTAATAAAAAGAAATGCTTTGTTAAGCCTTAGATCATGACTCCCTGGAAGCCCCAGCTCCATGTATCCCGACTCCCGTTTGAATCCTGCATGCTTCAATTGAATCAAAATTTGTGAAAGGTACAAAACAGAAAGAAGAAAATAATGCTTGTCGAAAGTACCAGCCTGAAGTTCAAGTTTGGAATGAAATCACTCAGGGACCGCAGTGGTAACAATATTCTGAAAGGTTAAGGCACATGCTATGTGACCTCCCTCGGCGCTTTTCAAATCCCCAATACCACTGTGAGCTGAGCAATTTGGAAAACAAAGGTTGGAAAGACAACTCTGCTGTGAATTGAGTTGGAGTAGGGAATTTATTGGGAAGGCGAATTGGTAACCGTCAAGACATTAGATTTTGTATCATGATCCGTAAAGCCATCCTCAAACCAGGCAGCCGTGAAATCTTCCTCGCAGAATTTCTCTTTGAGTTTGCTTAGATCTTCTGACTCGTCGTAGGTTTTAAAGCAATGTGTGTAGATATTGACCTCATGAAGAGAGATCTGAAGTTTCTCCAGTGACCATCGATCGAATCTCTCGTTTCGTGTTAGACGATTGTTCTCAGAATCCAATGTTTTGATGACGCTCTCTAATTTGCTCGGCTCTGAAGGGAGCAATGAAGATAATTGAGAATATTGGTTTGGAACTTCGAGTGGCTTGAGAGTTAAGTCCAAAGATGGGCTAGATTGCTCCTGCTTCGATGATTCTACCGGTTCTCCAGCTTCATCTATCAAACCCAGTGAGAGGCACTTTTGATGTAACTCCTTCTCCTCCTCCTCAGCAATTCGAATCTTGTAGATCAGATCGTCCAATTGAGCTTGGGAGCTATCTAGCCACTCTTGATTTTCGATAGTCAGGGGTTCCATATCAAACCGCTTTCTCAAGTCTACTTTCTCTTCGAGGCTCAATTTCTCATCCAAGATATCATCATAAAGTTCCCGAAAGTTGTCAAGTTCCCCGAGCTTCGAAAGATATGCATCCACCAATGGATGCAATTCCTGCGGCTTTGGTGGCTCGAGGCGTTCTGGTTCTTCCATCCACTCTGGATATCTCATGTGGCCCGCTAAAGCGGGCAAAAAACGTGAGGGGTCCCTCAGCTGACTGTAGAAATGCTCTTCGTGTCGTGACAGTTCATATTCTTGTATATCTAGATCACGCTCAAGATAGTTGTATTCATCTTCTAAAGAACCATATTTGTCTCTGGATTTCTGACAGTCGCAAAGCAACTCTTCTGTGGTCTTCTCAGACCACCATTCGCTTGGAAAGGGCATCTGAAATTCCCTCATTTTAACTCTCTTGAAGTACGCCTCGTCTGCAAGAGATTTCTCATTCTGCAGCATGCGAAGAACATGGCGCTTATGTTGAAGTGAGAAGCGTAGTGAAGCTATATGAGATCTCATTCTTGAGATATTTTGCCATTGATCATATAGTATAGAAGCTTCAAATAACGAAGGAGTATCTTGAATGTTCCGGGGAGGTGATAACTGTAGATGTTTTTGCGCGTTATGTGATTCCACCGTTGGCACAGAATCATTCATTTCAGCGTGTTTGTTAAGAGTTTTGTTTGACTCGGAGAGACTTAAAACATCACACGCAGCAGCTTCTTTACATTTCTGCCTGTAAATAGTGGAAGGTTCTGATTTGGTGGACAGAACTTTGCAATGCACGTGATTTGGGCTAGAATGTTGTCCACCGTTTTCGTGCAATTGAAGTTGACTTCTGCTTGATGGTAATGTGGGGACAGACGGCGAGCGATTGCAGAAACTGTCACCTATAGCTTGCCCCAGGTGCTTCACTATCTCACGGTGTTGTCCAATAGGTTCAGAACCGTCCGTGCTGTTAAATTCGTGCAGAATATCTGGCAAAGGTGGATCTTCATGTCTGAGTTCAGATGTCATATGAGGAATGTATTCATTGTTTATGCCATTGAAGTGGAAATTTGTGGGGGCGATACCATCTTTTGAAATCGGACAGTAGTTGTCTCGTGGCTCGTTGTATATAAGAACACGTGGTGTTGAGCTGGAGTTTGAAATACTTCCACGATCTTTCTCTTGCCCTACTGTCACCATGACTTTAGTCTCACGAAATCTCATCAATTCTTGATCGTGAACAGTATTTCGGCAGTCCTGTCTTGTAGTTGCTTTCGTCGTGATATAAGGCTTCTGTTTCTTGCAGCGACCTTTGGACTTATGCACCATGGAGCTGTTTGTGCAAGAAGTGCCAGATGCCAGAGCAAGTGACAGAAGTTTATCAGGCTTCTGAGGCCTTCGGGGGTTTCGAGTGATCTCCTTCACTTGCAGTGTGTTTTGGATGTTTATCCGCTCTTGTCGAATACCGCATGACCGTTTGATATCCCGGTTAGAACTATTGGCTGCTGCCCGCATCCGTATTTCTTCAAACCAATTATTGTTGTTGTTGAAACCTTTGATGACAGAGAACCGTCTTGCTCTTAATCATAGAATTCTTTAGTCGTTACCGGTGAGGCTGACTTGGAAAAACCCAGATGAAGACATGTCAAAAATAAAAGCACGAGGCCTTGAGATCTCAGAATATACTCTGTTGTGTGTGTCTCTATCTGTCCAATAGACGGAACTGAGGCTGAATGTGGTACATTCCCTTGTACAAGCATGTGCAAATCCATGCTACAAAGGAGTTGTACGATGTTGTATGGAATATTTCAAACCCCCACAGTTTTGTCCATTTAAGTCAACTGTTAAAGCGGCATTTTAGTTATCTAGCAAGGGTGTCACTAAGCTTGTATGTATGGTGTGAGGGTGGTGTCAAATTAAGCGAATAGAGAGCCCCGCATCAAATGCAACCACTTTCAAAAACCTACTGATTCCCGACAATCGTACCAATAGTATATCGCAATGAAGCAATAACTCTTGTCACAGCGTATGATGTTACCTCGAGAAAATGGAGAAATTCTACACCACATTGCGGACATTTGAGCCGCAATTGATGAGTGCCCACTCTGCCGTTGATAAAGGCAGGAAGAATCCCTGGTGGAGTGGTTCGCATTTTGATTTTTGAACCATACAAATGTCATAATATATATTGTATGGCAATGTCGTCCTCTACCTCTCACAAGCATAGCAGGACGCCGAGAGAGCCTTCCGGTCCTTTATGGAGTAATTGGGAATGGGATAGCGAAAGAGAAAGATGGCAATCTTATCGCACCAATTCTAGGGGTAAGACTGAGTGGAAATTTAAGAACGTATTTCCTTCGAGCACATCGGCTGTTGCACATATCCCGAGGCTAGAGGGTGCTTCATCACTGGATACAGTCTCTGAAGACACAGCTCAATATTCGAATGACCAAAACTATACTACAAGCAATAATAATATCGGAGCAGTGACCGAGTCACTGGCCGCTACGAGTTTGGATCCAAGACCCAATCCGGATCCACCCATTGTAGCTAAGCTTCAGCGAAACAACACTTCGACCCAGTACAATAATTTTGATCCTAGTAAGGACTTCATAGTCTGAACTTATAAATCATTACTAAAGCGTAGTAGATTACAAGGTGCACAGTGCTCGGGAATTCAAATTTGGCAAGGTATGGCATTAACTCATTTCGTTATCTCGAAGCATGTACTAAATCGAGCAGGTCTTCAAAGTTCTTTGGTCTGAACCATCCGGAAGCACAGCTGGCGGCGGCGGCGGAACAGTTTGGTCGCAAAGAGAGGTGCATGGCGAAATGATATATGCCAAAGTTCGTAGGTTTGTTATAATACACCCTAAACAAGGTCATTGTCTTTGTTTGTAAGTCTTCTATCATGCGGTTCCTTCCTCCCGTATGGCTGCTGTCTTTCACGTTATCACTGACCATCAGACTAGACCTATCATGTCTTACGAGGGAAGGGCGACAAGTAAATCTGGCGTACATCCTGAAGAGCATGCGATAATCTACACGACCCCTGAGCCAAGATTGATCGACAATGAAGATGGGAACAAGATGAAATTTGATCCGGTCAAGATGATACCGTACTCCCGTCGGCACATACTCGATACAGCATCAAGAATAAACTATGCTAAGATATATACCGTGGAATACAATGTTAAAGTGTGGTTTATTGGTCAAGTCGATCAAGCTTGTGAACACACAGTGAAGAAATCTTACAACGATGCCAACCAGCCATTGCCTCTATCATCTCAACCATCCGTTCCTACCGCCTACTCGATGAACAATCCTACTTATGATAATTCCTCTTATGCTATGCCGGGCCCTTCTTCAAACCTAGCTGGCTATCCTTCCACTGCATCTTACTCCTCGACACTCGGCTATGGTAATCAAATGTTTACGCCAACACCAGGCTATGGAGCGGCATCTGCTAATTCGAATATTTACGGCTCATCACAATACTCCGCTCCAAATTGCGCTCAGCCATTGTATTCCCAGCCGCAATACCCTCCGCAGTATGCATCACCATACCCACCGCAATATCCTCCTCCGCAATATCCTCCTTCGCAATACCCTCCATCGCAGCACCAGCCCTACTCGTCCAGCACAAGCCAAGGATATAATTACGAGTCCCGTAATACACATGAACCAGGCAGCGGTGACGGCCAACAATAGCTAATCAGTAACCTGTGAGTCCAATTCGGTTTCGCAGAAAAAAATTAACTAATAGATTTAGGCAATTCACGGGTACCATACGTTTAGGGGTTCGCTCGTTTACCCTCATTGCCATTTCTACCCGACCGGGATTCAGAGATACGCACCGTCTTTGGAACATCGCACTTCTATGTTTTTTCGGTTATCCTTTTCATGAGTTCTTTATTTTGATGTTTTACGATATGAATTTGAATTCGGAATATGGGCATATTCTTTCTTTTCATGATCCACGAAGTCACGAATGATATCCGATTTTCTCAAGTAAGGACTCGAATGCTTTAATCCCATTTCTTCTTCTTTTCTATATTTTTCAACTTCCGTTGGATTACAAATCACTCCACTCTCACTATGCTATCTCGAATGGGAAATACACATTCTCATTCTCATCTGCCGGTTTCAGATTTCACGTATTCACGCGTTTCTTTTGGCTGGGATCTGATTTTGAATATCCATAACGACGTCACGAACTATTATTTTCACTCTGTCTATCTTCTTCTTTGTCTCTGTAAGCGAGCGATTTCCTGCAGTTACTTGTTCATACTTTGAGTCTCTATATCAAATTGTCCATAGCTATTTCAATCTTTGCAAATATTAGTTATCAAACATATTGTTCAATCATTTCTTCTTCATTGTGAGCCTGATTTATATGTTGCTATCCTGAATTACGCCCCAGAGTGATATTTATATAATAGTCTGACACCACTGGTCCATTCGTTCACCCATCTACAAAGCATGACTGCATAATACATACATGCATATATATCTCCGGGAAGTTATCGAGCCCGTGTTCCTCCTAAGTATACCCCCACATTATTCCTCCTAAACGCATCTTCTTGAGCCGCAGATAAAATAGAGGATGACTGGACCTTGCCCCCAGCTTTGTTCTGACAAGGAATAGCCCGTTGCATATACTGTTTAAAAGTAAGCCATGGGATTGACATTCTAAGCCCTACCAGTGCACGGAGCTTTTGGTACCGAAAATTACTTTTCTACCCGCCTCCCTGATCTGACATGCATTTCCATTTCTTACATATCCGGAAGAAGTAATTAGCGATATATCAAACGCCCGCAGTTCCAGCTGAAAAACTGTCTGGCTCTTTGATCCCTGAAAAATCGAGACTTAATGCAGTATCAACTTTTATGCCATGAATTTGCTTGGAGTTGGCTTGTGGTTCTTGCGAGTTTCTGGGGGTCAGGAGCGCGGTGAGAAGTTGAGGATAGCAGTGACTAGGATGTGGATCAGTACATGAACGAATCAAGTAAGGCTGTAGGATGCTGAAAATGGTGTATATGTATGACGAGGCTATGGATTTACATGAATGTATGAGGTCAATGAGAAGCTAACGACTGCTGATGTGAGATCTTGGGATCGTGGCTTGGGTAATTAGATCTTTTTGTACTACTGGAATCCGGCTCCGGCGCCGAAGTGCGATGATCTCTGCTTGTAGATCTTTAGGGTGAAAGGAGATAGGACGAGTTTCAGGGAGGAATCACGGTAATTTTCCTATCGTAACGAGGGAAAGAAGGCTAAGATACTGAGGCTGAGAAAATTATAATTCTCGAGCAGTAAATTAGGAGTAGACGAGTGACAATAGGGGACTATATACGTTTGAAGGTTGATATTAATTTTTTAGCTGGTTCTTCCTGGATGGCTGCCCATATTGTATAGAAACTGACAAGTCTCGTGGATGAGCTAGTACTGTGATGATCATCCTGTGACGAGATTTATGATCATTGAGCGTATAAAGCTAGCATTCCATTCGAACTTAAGTAGAAACATTCTACAAAACCGCCGCTGAGGCATTCTTTCAACAGAGCTCACGAGCTTCTCATGAAACCTAATCTCTGCCACTATTCCGTATTTCCGCTCGCTGAGTTCATGAGTTACGGAAATCATGTTGCAAAATGGCATCAACAAGTGTAATTTTGAGTAGCTATCTTTCGAATAATTTCGTTTCGAAGACTGACACCCAGTATTTTTAGGACCAGAACAAAGTCTAGGCTAATATTTAGACACGAGTTCGAGGAACAAGATATTTGTGAATACTTACTGAGCTCTGTTGGGGCATTACAAATATGAACATTGGTCTACGGATAAGGACTCTGTGACGATTGGAATCATGTTCGGAGACTTTAATAGCTTATAAACTATTTTGGCTCTTGATTGGTAGCAGCTGGGCTTGTTGTTATCTGGCTCCCTCTCCGACCTTTTCATAGCCTGGATTGTAACCTTTCACTTCTTTTCCAGGATCCCTTCTATCCTCAGCTGTCCTCCCTAGACTACATCCCAACCTTCTGTTTCTCAATCTCTACCTCGAAAGTTTTTACCATCCTATTTCTTTCTTTCCTTTTTCTCACAATTTCTCGGTTCCCTTCTGTGTCCACATTCTCCCCACCCTGCCCATCCGTCGAGATATCAAAGTCTTCCGTCAAAGCCCTGATCGTCATATTTGCCGTATCCTTGAAATCAATACTATGAGCCATAAATAACCCTTCCATATGCACATCTCTCACATGAGGCGGTTTTTTCGAAGCCTTAGCCATGAATGGATTCCCCATTAGCGCATATGTCATAAGATCCATAGCCGTGACAGTCGGTGGAGAAGCATCTGGATTATATGCTAACTCATGTTCTAGAGATTGATCTCTAATTCGTTGATTCTTCTTTCCACCTTTGCGAGGAAATCCCTCAACTCCCAGTTCCAATTGTTTGCGAACTAGTTTTGCACGTCTCGTTTTGGCCTTCTCCGTGGATCTGACAACTTGTTGTTGGAATGGTGTCAAGACATTGTCTTTTATTTCATCGTAATCGCGTACGGCGGGATTATCAGGAGCATCGAGGTCGATTACTACTCTCGGTAGGACCAGCGGTTCTTCACTTTTGTAACCTTTGAATCGTTTAGTGGATTTCGAGATTGCGGGGAAATTGGATGACTTGATAGTGCGCCGGTATAATGAAAATGTCACTTGTTGACAATTCATGATTAAGATATCGAGACGACGCGGAGAGTGTGTAAATCTTTCAAAGTTTTGTCTTGATATGGATCGAATTAATAAAAAACAGCTGATTATATATTCCGTATTGGAAGCTAACGGCTAATCGCAATGTTAACAGCGAGAGCTCCACTTGCCTTAGCTCTAGTAAATCCGGGGTAACATTAGTTAGTAGTACGGGACTATATCTTAGTCAGCAAAACAACCATTTCAGTAGCGTTCGCCTCTAGGCTCTTTTCTCAACGACAACAACCACAATTTATTCCATCATTCCTAGACAAACCGCAAACATCCATCTCGACTGAAACCTCGGAATTGAATTGGGTCTCTACGATTACTTCAAGAACGCCAAAAAGCCTCAGCACTCGCCTTGCGATCCTCAAAACGCAAATTTATCACAAACCTTGAAAATGCCACCAGCAAAGAAGAGAAAGACCCGCGCGACGGCTGAATCATCAGAAGAAGTGCAACCACTCGATGCCGCCACCAACGCAGAAGAACCAACAGAGACGCCATCAGAATCGATCCCCCAGAAAACCAACGAACCCACACCGTCAACCACATCCTCCTCTACCTCAGATGCCGCCGCCAAAGCCAAAGAACGACAAGAAAGATTTAAAGCTCTTCAAGCCCGCGCCAAATCTTCCGCACAAACAAACCTCAAAGAAGCTACTCTTGAATCGCAACGTCTAGCCACCGATCCCAACCTCCTCACATCCTTGAACCGTAAATCTGCGGTCGCATCCCACAACCTCCTCAAAGCCGACGCCGAAGCTGCTGGCGAAGATTTCGAGCGCAAACGAGCTTGGGATTGGACTATTGAAGAAAGTGAAAGATGGGATAAACGACTTAAGAAAAAGGAGGCGCATCGAGATGATCAAGCATTCCAAGATTATCGACAAGATAGTCGAAAGGTTTATAAACGGCAAATCCGCGACCTAAAGCCCGATATGGATTTTTATGAAAAGGAGAAGATGGCAGCTGTAGAAAAAGCTGCTGCATCTGGAGGACTTGAGATTGTGGAGACAGATGATGGAGAATTGGTTGCTGTCGATAAGGATGGAACTTTCTATAGTACGGCTGATTCAATAGGGTTTGTAGAACACAAACCAGAGAAGGCGGCTGTGGATAGATTGGTTAAGGATTTGCAACAGGCGGAAGAGGCAAGGTTGAAGAAACAAAGGGCGAGGAATGCGGCAAATGGAGAGGATGGGGATGTTACTTATATCAACGATAAGAACAAGCAGTTCAACCAGAAGCTGTCAAGGTTTTACAACAAAGTAAGCACATTTTACGCTCCCGTTTCCTTTGCATTCGCTGACATTCTGTTTAGTACACTGCAGAAGTTAGAGATAGTTTTGAGCGTGGCACAGCTATATAATTATATAAGGGATTGGGCGGATAGATTCTGCGGAGTTGTTAAAACACCCTATAGTCTAAAATACAAATACAAAGCCACAATGGGCAATTTCCGATTATTATTCATTTATAACATCCCCTTTCTCCAAGCTTTCTCAGCCAATTCTTCAATCTCCTTGACCTCAACAGGACCTTTGACACTTTCCTCACTCAAAGCCTCCACAACGGCTTCAGCAACCACATCCGCCTTGAGCGGTTTGACGCCTGCAGCCCCCATGATTCCCCCAAATATTCCTCCCGTGAGCCCATTGAAAACAGCACCCAAACCTGTCGCCGCAGCCAATGGCATAGTAATCTTCCTCGAACTATCATATAACATACCAGGTCTAATAAACACACTCCTCATCTGTGGGAACTCGCTGGCAATCGTACTTTCGGCGGCACGCTTCGTATCTATATATCTTTGAGGTAAAACTGGTGCTCCGCCTGCTGCACTTATATATGCAAATGCGGGAACGTTTTCTTTGTAGGATTCAGAAGCGAGTGTAATGGCAGAATCTCGATTCATCAGTTCGTAGGTTATTTGACCGTCCTTCTCTTGAGAATGTAAGTCCTCGCCTGGTTGACGAGTCAAGGGATTTTGGGAACCTGCTTTAGATGAAGAAAATGCGCGAGAGAGTCCGGAAATGGGGGATTCGCGACCAGATATGACACCTTTGTAGTCTGCTTCAAGAAGGATACCCATAGAATGGACGACAAAGTCTGCAGATTTGAGGAGAGGAGCGTAGGTAGATGGTTTGAGAATATCGGCGCGTTCCCAAGTTACTTTGTGAGACCACGCGGGTGGTGTGGAAGAAGATGACACTGAAGACCAAGTTGGTTCACCTGATCGACTGAATTGGAAGTCACATTAGTATTATAACATAGGAGATTGGCGAGAATGGAAAGGGATAGAGGGGCAATGAAGCTGCGAACTCGAGCTCTCAACACACCTGATACTGGTAACATCCCATCCCCTTGCAACTGCTGATTTACAAATTCTTGAACCCAAAAATCCATTCCCACCACAAACCACTATTCTCTTGGTGACTGACATATCTGAATATTTGACGTCGATCCGTTATTTCTTATAGAAGATTACTCAAGAAAGGTATGAAGAGGAAAACAGCTGATGATTTATATTCTCGATCTTTTGATATTCCTTCTACCCTGGTACTCATCGGATCTTTTAAAGCCCGTCCGTCCATCGTATTCTTGTAGACGTCAGTATGAATGAATCATTGACACTGACCACTGACCACTGACCACTGACCACTAATGATCTAGTACTTTCCAGGGTTAGTCAAGCCTGGGATGTATCTACTAGATTAGCTTAAACCTTAATTATTGAACGACCTAGAGACTTTCAATCCCGAATCGCGACTTTTGAATCTTTATTGATTATTTTCAATCTGCCCCTCATCACCAACGACATCACCACAGTCACTTATCTATTGATCTACGATAATAATGGCACCGCCGAATACACAAAAACGTACCAAAGGCGTCTCAATCTATAGACCCTTTGTATATGGTACCACATCTCATAAGTTCAGTGCGAAATATCCAAAACCAGAGGGAACGCCAGAGGAACATACACATCAATGGACGGTATTTGTAAAGGGAGTTGATGATGTGGATATTACGTATTGGTGTCGCAAAGTCCAGTTCAAATTACACGATACTTATCCGCAACATCTGAGATGTATGTATTTTCTTGTTCTTGTGTTTGTCAACTTGCGCAAAGTCTTTGCGCTTTCGTCACTATCCATTGTAAATTGGATACTCTTCTGTTTACATTACAACCATACGCTAACCGATCTTTCCATGATTTTAGCAGTCGAAAATGTCAAGCCAGGCGATCCATTCCAAGTAACCGAGACCGGCTGGGGTGGTTTTGATATTCAAATAAAAATCTACTACGATCCAATCGCCAACGAAAAAGCCCAAAGTTTCTGGCATCGACTGGTACTCGAACCTTATGGCGATGATCAACTACAATTTATCCAGGACCGAGATAATGAGGTGCGATCTTGGGTATACGATGAGATGGTCTTCAATGAACCTTATGAACAATTCTATGAGGTTTTGACAAATCCCGTACCAAGGGAGAAAAATAATGGGGGCAAGGGAAAGGCGACAAGGACGATGAGGGGAGGGATGGTGGGAAGTGTGGGGGAGAGAACGGTCTTCATACCCATGACACAAAGACCGGGACAGCCATTTAGTAAGGATGGAGAGAGGGCGGAAGTAAAAAAGTTGGTGGAGGGGAAGAAAACGGTGGATAGGCAGAATGAGGAGTTGAGGAACGAATTAAGGGAGAAGGAGGAAGAAGTGAAAAGATTAAAGGCAGAGTTGGAAAAGTTATGAGACGGTGTATTTTTGATGATGGGGATGAAGTGAAAATGGGGATAGGGATGAGAATCACAATTGTGCTCAGGTTCTACGAATCATCAATTGAATTTGGGGGACGTCGATATGAGTGCCCAGTCATACATACACAAGGGGTTAAGCAATTTTGCGAACCTGTTCGGACATCCATAAACTTGGAGGATCGGCGCATTACTGCAGAGGCTTCAGTAGTCAGAAGACACTTCTCACTATTCCGGATGGCGCACAGGTCACAAGGATGATATTCAAAAGTGAGTGGGATAAAGGAGACCGAACTTTGGCGAAATTGGAACCGTACTTTGAGTGCGGAAGTGTTGGATTAGAAGAATGGGCTCACAGGCCATTATCACATGTTCGATCAAGATATCAGTGGACGCGAATCAAAACCTGGGAATTGATGCTTAAAGTCTTTCAAGGATTTAAAGAAGAGGAGAGATTGTAAAATAAGCATGAGTGACAGAAAGGATATTCGAGATAGATGTCAGAATAACATCCTGATTTATGTCAATTTACAGGCATAGAAGAAAGAAATTGGGGGGAGTAAAATAGATACTCGAGATTAAAAAGCGCACATTGAATTTTGTGAGAGAAATGAATTTCATCGATGTCTTGTTGTCTCCTTTATTATATCTCATACAAAGTCTACCCCTATAATTCTCCGTCTACACATACTCCTCCTCTTACTCCAGTCCACTACGCATCCATCTATCCACCACTCATCAGATCACTAAACATCCTATCTTGAAATACTATCCAGGTAGGTAGGTACTCAGCTCAACCTCGCTTAGACGAATTTCGAATTCATCGGTTTCATAGTTTAACCTCGCTAGCTCACCAGCTAATCAACTAATACATTGATTTATATATCATCACACGAGCATACTAGCTCACCCACTCCACTCACTAAGCCACAACTCATTATTGCATTAAAGACCTCTTCAAGTTCGGGAACTCGAAGTCACGCTTTGACTCGACACGACTCGACCAGGATACTCGTAGAATAAATAACATACAAGCGACGTCTAGCTTCATAGTATACTGCCATGGCATACTAGCACACTAGCATATTAGCATGTCATATCAATCCATCAACACACTGCATCTCATCCTTCCATGCGAGTGTTTCAGCTCACAAACTCATTCGTGGCGTGGGTTATTAGTATACGAACTCACTAGCTCACTCTCTCGCTCAGTTATAGATACCTACAGACATCAGCTTACAGTATAGTATCATATCATATCATATTATATTAGCAGAACTATTCAGCAGATCTATTCATATACTAACCTGTTCCAATTTAATACCAGCGAGTTGATTATTTTCTCGGCTTGCTCGCTTGATAGTATAGTAATAAGTTAAGTGTGTTAATATAGTATGCCAATCTCAACGTGCACCATTTATCACCATATATATACATCATATATATACATATACAAATACATAAACTCAAACCCCAATCCATCCATCGATCAATTAGCATACGATACTAGCTCCCCAGCTCTCACACCAGCTTCTTAGCATCTCAACTCCCCAACTCCCCTACTCACTCACTCGTCTATTCACCCACTCACCCGCCAAATAGTAAGTAGATTAGCACGCCAACTTATCACCATAAAATCCCGTTAGTATACTAGTTCATCATCTCACAATCATATTGATATACCAGCTTATGAGCCCACTGCCTCACTTCACCCAGCCCACTAACAATTCACTCACTCACTCACTCACTCACTCATTTACTCCTGAACTCACCTCACCTCACCTCACCTCCCAGAAAATCAGAAATATCAGAAATATACAGATACCACGTTTTTTAGCGTATATAAATATACATAAACATATACCTATACATTTATCTATACCTATATACATATACATCCATATATGTATACATCCATATACATTCAGATACATATCCAGTGTAGGCAATAGTATACTATAGTGAAACTGTGGCGCGTATTAGCATATTGATATTGCAGCTAATATATATAGAAAGGAGGCTATACCACTTTCGTACATATTCATATATCTAGAGAATACTAGTAATATACTGAAATACTAGAATCCAATATAAAGTATATATTTCTATTCAAATTAAATAATAAAATTCTATTCCTTATTTCAAATTGAATAGAAATCCCTTATTTTTAATCTAATTTGGATAGGAATATATATTTTATATTGGATTCCAGTATTTCAGTATATTGCTAATAATATTAAATAACTAAATGATATTGAATACTTTCAATAATATTTATGAATTCTATACCACATATACATATTTCAAAAAAACTCGATACGCACCACTAAACTAACCCGTATACGAAATACGGGAAATACTATTGCCTACACTGTACATATCTATTTATACATCCATCTTGAACACACATCTATCTATATCTATACCTACCTAAATAGACCTAAACCTACACCTACCTACCTATTTATCTATCTATCTATCTATCTATCTATCTATCTATCTATCTATTTATTTATCTAACCCCTTCCACATTCCAAAATTCTATATCTTCGCACTACCCATGGACATGTATATATTCCAGCTTATTTAATATCCTGAATCGATCCAATGCCATACATTCGATATCTGATATACCGCCTACTCGTGAAATTTAGGTATTCAGTGATAGCGATTCAACAACAAATGAAAGAAGGGTGATTTACGGGAGATGTATTAATCATTACTCAACATTCACAAAATTACAGCTATCAACCACATAAAACGAATGAATATAGATCAGATCTCGGTATAATTGTACTCTATCTATCTCATCTCTCCAATCTTTCTCCCCAAAAACTTCTCCTCTAAAATGATCATACAATCGGCACCAAAACAAGAAAGGTATCTTCAAGGTGGCAAAGACAAAAGAAATTCGTTAGTAGGCGAGAAGTATCGCTCAAAACGACTTGCAAGGAAAGGAATCGTAAAGTCCTGTGTGTATATAAAATTTGAAACAACTTCCACTTCCCCCCTCTTCACATCAACCCACACAAACATCATTTAAAAATCAGGACTCAACAATCCCCAAGCAACCAAATCGCTCACAACGAAACAATCCTCAAGAACCAACTTTTGTGTACCTACTACCGAAACCACCCAGAATATTGATATACCATCCCCTTCCTGCCTGACCCATCATATCCCAAAATCCATACATTCAAATTATGCCAAACCTCCCATGAGGTATAGCATATCTTTTGACCAGCAAAAAAGAAAACTCGCTAAATCGCAGCACCAAAGTTTTTATCAATATTAAGTACTTCCAAAAACACAAAAGAGTGGAGTGTTCGTAAGTCCGTAATGATTCCCATGAAACTCCCGTGAAGTGACACACAAAGGAAAGAGTCGAGATGTTATACATGGGTTGAATTGAATGTAATATAGCCTACATTACAAGGCTTTTGGTTCATAGGCTGGGGGAGCATCATCTCCATTGCTTGATGTAGACCAGAACCCTTGACGAGCGGCTTTGTCGTCATGTTGACGACGTGCAAGTTCAGAAGCCATCTTCATAATCCAAGCTTGTTCGAGAATTCCTGATGGTGATTCGGTTGTCGAGAAGTGGAGTCCATGTGGATATGAGAATGGTGTATGTGGTGGAGTAGTCGCTGACTTTTCTGGAGTGTATGAAGTGAACGCTGATTGATTATAAACGGGACGCTTCTGTTGTTGCGTGTTGATTGGCGTAGAAGGTTCCACAGTGAGTGTTGGAACTTGATCCATCTTGACTTGTTCAGGAGTCATAGAACGAGATGGTTGAAGTTTCTTAGGTGAGTCTCCAAGATCAATACTATTGAATCGCACCTTTCCGGATGGTGGGGTAACTGGAAGGTCTTCTGGCTCCTCGGGAATACGAGAGGGAACAGTTGATTCGGGTGCCGTAGTCGTCGAAGCTGTCTCGCTTTCGCCACTCTCGCTACTATCAGTAGTTTTGGGTTTCCTCAAGTTCACCACTCTATTCTTCTTCTTCCTCGTAGGATGTGATCTTGAACCTCGATTGGCACCAAGACTTAACCCTGTTGTGGCTGAATTCATATTGACCAGCGATGGTCTGGATGGTATTCCACCGTGGCCATCATCAGAGTTTCTGTTTGAGAATGTATACGTTGTACTTTGACCTCCGAGAGATGATTGAGGCCTATGGAGAGATGGAGTTGCTGGTGTGGTAGTTCCAGCCGAGTCTCCTCTTTCAGAAGGTGCCCATGCTCGAAATACCGCGTCTCGGATGGAAGGAGTAAAGAGTGACAATGTTCGATGAGAGTTGGTCAGTGCGGCTAATCGAAGTAAGTTCTTTTGTGAGAACAAGGAGTGAATCTCTGATCCACCGTCTAATGATAAATTGGAAATCTCAGTCGCATCTAGAACATTTCCACGGGCATCGACAGCATCTTGTGGTGGACTTGCAAATGGATCTATTGCCACCTCGTCTTTAGCTTTCTTCGCCGCGTCGGCCATTTCTTGGTCTTCTTTTGCTCTATATTCTGGACACCATAATCTCAATGACAATCTGTGAATGATAGCAGGCAATTCATCCATCATTAAAGTCCTCAACTGTTGCTCGATTTCCTTTTGTAAATAATCCTTAATGAACGGTATCGAGTCAAAGGTAGAGGAGACTTTGAGAGATTCGAGGGGATCATTTCGAAAAACCAAGGTTAATCCCTTGGACTTTGAAAATACCACAATGATGAAAGCCGATAATTTGATATCGGACAAAGTAATTTGTAAAGGGATGGTGAGCCCCGCATCTGCCGCGAGGGGTTGTGGAGAGGTGAATGAAGGTTTCGAGAACAAATGATTGTTTAGCGGATTAGCCTGTATGGATATATTAGCTCTGCATTATAGGTTTATGTCAAGCATATGCGATATGCAAGGTAAGTGGTGAAATTCAAAGACGATTCCCCTCTATGCGCGTCGATAATTCTGCCATGACAACTCATTCATCGTTCGATAAAACGTTCCAACAAAAGTGGGAGAATAAAGGGTTTATGCGGAAGAGGTGAAATGTAAAAGGTAACGACGACGACGATAGCGACCGCGAGGAAAAAGAGGACCATCAACGTACCTGAACTCTTGTTTTCAAAGTCAAGAAAGCGTCTCCAGAATAGCACATTTTGAAAATTCCCCTAAATCTATCTTCCGCCAAATCCCCAATCTCCAATATTTCCAAATCGGGCGGGACCGAACCCAAATTTAATTCGTTGACGAGAATATCATCTTTTATGATGGGAGGCTTGGGAGATTTATTGAGAGCTGCCGTGAGCATCTCTTGAGCTCTTTGATAGAATTCCGCATCTGCCGTGAGAGGCGACCAGTTAAAATTGAAAGCCATGTTGATATAACATTAGATGTCGACGAACAAAACGTTCCTACGCAAGAGTAGGTTCGTTTGAGGAAGGATGGGTCGATGTCGATGTCGATGAAGTTCTTGATTGATTTTAAGCTGACTGGAGCTTCATAGAAGGAGAAGTCGCCTCGACAGATATTTTTGATAGATTTGATCGTGCGAGCAAAAAGACTTTTTGATGGATGGATTGATGATCGTGTGACGTAACGATTGATGCTAATCCTCTTAGTTTTGATGAAGAGGGAAAGAAGAAGAGGACGAAAGGATTGAATTTTATGATATGAAGATGAATATGAATATGAACTTGACAAGAAGATAGATATTCAATGTTATTGTTTTGTGTGTGTGTGTGTGTGTGTATGTGTATATATATATATATATATATGAGAGGGACAAGATATGGTTCCTGAATATAAAAAGTGATAATGGAGCTCCTCTTCTCTTTGCTTAACCCAGTCTCTTAGTAAATTTTTCATTCCGCATTTCTCCCTCGCTGGATTTTCTTATGGCTCGCTTCCTGTAACCTGTAACCTGCAACCGTATGAACCCTGTTTATCTCCTCTTCTACCTATGGAATGTGAATATGTGAATGCCATTCATCCGATGTCCCGGAAATGCATTTGATACGATAGAGACATACCTAGGTATCTGGTAGATAGGTCGGTCCTTCACTCGGAATAGGAATCAATATAAGATTCCTATTGTTGGTGGTTGTAGTTGTAGTTGTAGTTGTAGTGGTAGTTTCTTCTTTCTGATCATAATAATTGTGTGTTATATATTATATACTATACTATCATAGTTATAGTTATAGGTATTATGTATTATATATTATATCATATATCATATAAGTTAGTAGATCTTCAATATTGGTCTATTGACCATAATCACAATAGCAAAAATATTAACTTTTCGTCATCATATTTTTTGATTCATTTCTTTCCCCTCACTTCACTTCACTTCACTTCACTTCACTTCACTTCACTTCACTTCACTTCACTTCACTTGATTCACACTTCACAATTTAACTCACAGACTCAAATGTGCTCTGACCACTCATTCCCATGGATTAATAATGTGAGACCCAGAACCATTGATTTCCCTCGGATTTCTCTCTCCTCGGCCTCCCGAACCCCTCCCGTCACCTCGTAAATAGAAAAAAAGGAAAAAAGAAAAGAAATTTCTATTTAAAAACCAACAAGGAACTTCCCGGAAATTGGATCATAATCTCTATAATTTCTATAATTTCTATAATTTCTATAATTTCTATAATTTCTATAATTTCGATCCCCATCCCGGAAAATCATCGTTACGGATTCTAATCATTTATCCGATGTTCACCACCACCTGTCCAGGGCATATTAATTTCCTTGCATAATTAATTGATCATGCATACTTAATATTCACTCTCTTCCACGTATCCCCCCAGTTCCTTTCGTTCCATGTAAGGTTATGTGTGATTGACTTCGGACTTTTATTACAACCTTAAACATTGATCAGCATCTGTCTTACTACGTCTGATCATCAACACTTTCTTCAATCCTCGGTACGTGAGATGAATTGGTAACAATGTTTTTGTTTTTTACATCTGGATATCAAAAAGTGCTCAAAACAATCTACACAGAATGTAAAGTCACTTGTCATTCATTACATAGAGCCTCTCAGTCGAGAGATCTGAGTGTGATGTAGTCCATCTTATACTCCGCACCTCCGCCTCTCTTCATCTTCTCACCTCCCAGTACTCTTCAAACGAGCATGGTTATTCAATCACATAGAAAGTTCTATAGAAACCCTAGCCCAACATCTCTCTTCATGCAGCATTCTTCTCATTTTGCTTCAAGGTCATTCCTTCAATTGTCGCCAGCCTCGGGGGCACATGGTGATTTGCGAAGAAGTTATGAAGTGCGACTACGTAATTTGCAGCATGAATACAATACACACTACCCTATCACTGATCTCTGTTTCAAATCACAACATCAACAACGCCGAGGTCTCTATCCCGTTGAAGGGCGGTGCCGGCAGAAACATGGGAACAAAGTGGAAGAGACATCTTCTTCACCCCATCTTCTTCAGTGATACCAGACCTATGATTTCATAAGTCTCACTCACACGTCAAGCTTCCATATGTGAATATGATGATAGCATTCCATGTTTACTCGGCATCATAGTCGCCAACCATCTCATTCAATCTCACTTCTTTCCTTGGTCTCTAGTCTAGTCGAGATTACACTTGATCCATGGGGAATGATGGAGCTCAATTCGAGAGTCTCAATGTTATTCTGCGGGCCTTGATATCGTACAGCCTTCAAGTACAGATTCTCAATATAGTTCGATTCAATACCTACAAAGTTTTATATCACCGCTGCTTGGCAATATTATTACTGCACCTCTAGCTGTATTTTCACCCTTTTTTGATTCCATCTTCATCTCCGTCGAATTCTCTTACTGAAATTCCTTCCACGTTTCCATTCCCTATAGGCTATCATCTTTTCTCCAATACATTCATACCTCCCACTTCATCCCAACTTCTTGACTCAGCTTGTCTTTCCCTCCACCACTAAAAGTCCAAGCGTCATTTGCGCTTAAGCTAAATTTGGATTACGGTGAACGAAAGAACCCTGATATGACGCATTACTTAGTAAGTTTCATTCGTTCCAATTATTTCATAAGACCCAATCCGGTTTCTATTCTTCAGTTGTTCCACTCATTCCTCACTCATTTCTCAGTCATCTTTTCCCCGATTTTCCATTCAAATCAATTTGATATAAATACAATAAATAATAATGAATACTTTATCAATTCAACCTTATCATCTCCCCAACAGTCATATCAGTATCAAAGTTCTTGCAGAAGGGGCTGCAAATGTTATATATCAAATCACGGTTGGTCCAGGATCACAAGACATTGCCGAACTGGACAAGGATCATCAAGAATTAGAACATCTCTCTGGTAATTTTTTCTAAATCTCCTTTGCTACAAATTGCATGAAACAATACATCTTCATGCTTTTATGCTATACTATCACCATGGTCCTAAGTTTCTCCAGGAAAATTATTACGTCTTCGGAAAGATGTTCCCACTACAGCCCCAACTGCAGATTCACATCAGCAATGGCTCGGATATATCTTACCCCTATTCAAACCAGAACAATTAGTCACTCAAGAATTGGTCTACATTGGTCATCTCAATGTAATTCCTGGATTGAATACCGATCTCAGACGTTTTGATAACCCCGGTGGTACATCTCCCTCAAATCATCTCGCCCCACCACCAAAAGGGAAATTTTATCGTTCAAGAGCACAAAGTGGTACTTTCTTAGCGAAAGACGATTATGGTCTTCTGGTAACAGATATGACACCAAGTACGTTGACAGTTTTCTCTTTTGTCGCCGCGTGTATTAATAAGTTCGCAGGGAAATCATTACAAGAAACTGTCGTAGAATTTAAACCAAAATGGCTCTCTCCATCCCATGAAATGCCACCTAAAGCCATAAGATGTCGTACTTGTGCCCTTCACGCACGTCGGATCGCTTTGGGAGAAGAAAGAAAAAATACTGATCTTCAATCATATCTTTGTCCACTCAAACTTACGGATGATGACCCAAAGTTAAAGTTCGCAAACTATGAGGCATCCGCTTCACATATATTACACAAAACTCCTGAATCACCTGCCGTTCAATCACTTGCACAATGGATCCACGAAGATCCTTTATTAAAACGGCTTCGCGATCTCCAAACAGAGTATGATCGTAAGGGATCGTTGAAGTCGGAAAAAGCATCGCATGAACTTTGCGTGGCGATGACCCTCAGAGATTGTTCTTTGTACATTCGTATGAATAAGAATTCACAGGTTATAGAAGCTCGTTTGGGAGATCTTGACTATAAATCGGCTAGTAAATATTCTTCGTGGAGGAAGAAAGAACAGGAATTGGTTGATGAGGGGTGGTATTGTGGTGAAGAAAAGAAGGAACTGAAACAACCCATTGACGAGTGTCTGTTGTCAAGAAGGATTTGAGTTATGTGGAAACACTTCTGATGCCACCGGGCTGGAGAAAGTCTCTGGTGAGAAGTTTCAATGAGTTGGGAATTCCATATTCATGAAGTTGATTTCCAATATTGCCTGCAGTCTGATAATCAAGAGCTCTGAATGTCCGAAGACAATTCGAAAATCGAGATGCAATCAACTTCTCCGATCACTCGAACCTTCTGGTCATATTCGAGCAGTGATAGCTACGATCATCGGACTGTAGTCGTAGCAACGGATACCATAGAAGATAGGATTTCGTGCGGGTGGGAATAATGTTTAATGGAGTTTGACATAGATGGTTGGGAACATGGGTTAGATAATAATTATGAGACACCCTTATTTTTTTCATTGACACTGCTACTTTATACGTATCCGCTATAGAAGGTATGGTTGGGGAAATAAGTATTGAGGGATATTTTGTGTATTCGCCGGAAAGGACAAGTGCGGGAAATTTACATTTCTTTTCGGACGTACATGTATGAGGCTTACCCTACACCCACAACGCGTATTTCGAGCCATAGTCATGGGAATCTGAATATTCGAATCTTAGTCTCATATTGTGATTTGGTATGTGTGCGTCGTGAACTGTGGAATTTGGATGGGATTGGGATGATTGATTGATTTTCAGTAGATCATCTCGGTTTGAATGGTTTGGATAAGTAGTAGAAGAGAAAGAGCTCAGTGGGAATATCATTGTATAGAGGTTGGGGTGGAGAGAGAGAGTTTGTTTGTGTGTGTGTGCGAGAGAGAGAGAGAGAGAGAGAGAGAGAGAGAGAGAGAGAGAGAGAGAGAGAGAGAGAGGTATAAGGGGGATTTGTTTTTCTATGTGGTATGTAGTATATGGATTTGTTGAGGTTATTGAGTTTGTTAATTGTAAATTGGGTGGTGGGTAGTGGGTAGTGGATTGTTTGATGTATGTGTTTATGTGTTTATATGGTGGGATTTGAGATTTGTCGAACAACATACATACGAGTATGGATAATTAATCATCACATATTACATGATCGATACGGGCGGGATGAAGATATAGTGTTAAAAGAGGGTATAATGGTATAATGGTTATGGGGATTGCCCATTTTTATGTATATATATATATATAAGTATATTCGGTTTCTGGACTTTTTTTTTCTTCCTGGAGATATTTATGTAGCTGAGTATCAGTCTGGTATAGGGGGGTGGAACTGACATGTTCATCTCCGATTATATAGTGGATTGAGGATGATTTGATTGGATTGGATTTACTTTGAGGAGATTAGAGGGGAGGTGGGTGAATGGATTGGATCGGAATCATCATCTAAACGAAAGATTAGAATTTAGATTTTAGATTTCGGGGATGTTTTATTATTGAGTATTGAGTATTGGGTAGTGATTCTTGATTACCGATTACCGATTATTGATTGTTCAGAGTTGAAAAACTATTAAAGTTTTGTTGATAATAGGTATGAACTCCAAATTATCAAATCTCCAAAAGCACGCCTACTATTCGTCCCTTCCTTCCCCTCCTCTCATTTCATCTCTGGTCCGCTATATCTATCTGCTTTGGAATGCTTAGAGGGATAGATAGAAAGAAGGGGTTTATGTGATATGAAATGAAATGGTTTGGTTTGGTTTGGTTTTGGTTTGGTGTATGTTTTTGTGTTTGTGTTTATTGAAATCGCAAGACTGGAAAACTGGGTATGTGATACGTGTAAAGATTTAGCAATGGCGAGGAATTTTGGAAGGGGAAGGTAAAGGAGAAAAGAGAGGGGTATTGTATAAGTTGGGGAGGGGTGGTGATTTGGAGTTTATCGGGGGAAATTTTATGGAAGAAGAGGGGCGGAGAAGATGAGGATGAGATGTGATTTGATGTGGGAAATAGAGGGGAGATGAAGGCGGAAGTGATAGGGTGGGGTGATAGGGAATAAGGTGGCAAATTGAGGGAAGGAGTGAGATATGGGAAGATAATTGTGTATATACAAGATATCTTCGGTCGTTGGATTTATCAAGGCTCCGTAGGATAAAAAGAGGATGAGGAGATGAATTGTGATTGTTTGAGATCAATACAGCATATACGCTATATAACCATATTATCTGACTTATTCACAACACCCTTCTACTGTAGGAAGACCTTTGAGAAAAATTTCGACGCGATGATTTTTTCGAATGCTCGAATAGATTGTTCAGGATACGTATATTTTTGTCGGATTTCGATTGCTGGAAAGATGTAAAATGGTAGGGTGGTATGTGCTATTCTCTCTCTGTGCGTAGAGATTGGAGATTGGACTTTGAGTTCATCTCTCCTCATTATCTTTTGTCTTTCGGAGCGAAAGCCGCGATGTACGCTTGTTGGGTGAATCGTGTGGCCTGAATACTGTGGGATAGTATAACAAGTAGAGAGTTGGTTTAGGCAGGGAAGGTACCCATGGTATCATTGTCTAAGTTGGGAACGAAAATTCAAAAGATGGTGGCACGGTATCGATTTTGTTTCCTGGGCTATGTGATACTGGCGTCCTAGCAAGAAACCATAGCTCGAAAAGTGAAGAGTCATGTCGAAATGTATCGAAGCAAGAAAACAGATAATTGTGGAGTTCTGTTGAAGAAAAAAGAATCCGGCAATCTAGGTATCAGATGAGATCACTGAGATGATGGGACTCCACCCAATGGTGTAAAATAAAACTTCCGAGACTGACATCAAGGCCGAATTCTAATCGAGTCCTATGTATAAGGTCTAGCAGCGAAGTGAGACGTTTCCCATCCGAGAATAATCGATTGTCAATACACCATTTTCGTAGCTTTCTCGCCTCGTATATGTTAAAGGGTCGAGGATTTTTGCCTACAAGTTGATACCTCGCTGTACTCCTAGCTGTCCAGATAAAATTATCAGGATAAAAATGGTGGCCAGGCTCATCTAGAGAAAGATAAAGAACTGTACGGCTGAGTTTTCGATACATAACGTACAAATTATCACTTCTGTATTCGGGTCCAAAGAGAGTCTCGAAGTTTGCTCCACGATCTTTTCCAGCCATTACCATGGACATAATTATTTCTCCCAAATGCATCTCCATGCAGTTCTTTTGAGAAAAAATCCCGATCTCATTCGCCAAATGCATTATTCGAGGAGCACGATGGATAATCCCAGATCTGAAGTGTTGAAGGCTGGATGAAGCAATGTATTGTGCCTGGTGTGTAGGTTGCGTACGAAGTGCCCGATTAGCCAGTTCATCCGCGTCTCGATTATGCTCTCTTTTGACATGCCAGAGTTGGATATTGAGATCCTCTGAAAGTAGCTTGATCATGTGATGAATGCGTAAAATGAGATCTTGATTTACCACAGGTCTCCCCTCAATTGTCCTGAACCCGTTCTCCAACCAGGTCGGAAGCCACAAGGTAAGACAGTCATGTACGAACTTGGAATCCGTAATGATGATTACGTCTACTTTAAGCAAGTGGTGGACTGGCATGGGGTGTTCGGAGATCCATTTTCGTAATCTGCTATGATGTTTAAGGAGCTCGAGTGCATGAAGCATGGCCATCAACTCTGAATAATTATTCGTATGTTTTTCTCCAGATGGTCGAGTAATAGTATCATAAGTATTAAGAGGCGAGTCTGGACCAAAAAACACGCCAAAGGAGGATTTTTCAGCCCGTGTAGTTCCATTGCCAGGACAAGCACCATCAATGGCTACCACTAATGCTGTTGGGGAGCAAACTTCGGATTCGTGATACAGAAAATCGGCTCCAGGATATTCCAGGTAGGACATTCCACTGTATTTATCATAGTGGACAATATTCTTGGGAGTCACTGGAGTGCCGTCGGAGAACAATCGGCGTGTATCAAATGTCCGAACTCGGGGATACATTTCTTGATATTCAAGAGGCCGGAACTGACTGTGCGTCTTTGAATGAGATTTTTTTATCTTGATGCTTAGACTCTTGTGTGTTTGTGATAAGGTGCGGAAAAGTGAGGGTGATGCTGTGGTCTTTCTGAGTTTCGTTAACATTTGATTTCAAGGTTCAAGGTTGAAATTTGATGGATGATAGATGGGGGGTCGCCCGAAACGAGAAGAATCCACCTACAAATTGACAGGCTAAGCCTGTTTCAGCTATATTTCGGCAGAATTAACCTCTCCAGGAGCGGCAAAGATCTGTCTAATTGAACCTAGGTATGTACGAAACAAAATATGTGCTACGTGTACCTCGGTATCGAAGTTGAGCACAATAAAGGCGGTCACGATTTGTATTGTGAGAAAGGGTGTGAACAGTTGATTTTCTTCGAGAGAATCTTTCGATTCGTTGTATAGAGAGTAAAGGAGCTGTGATTGGTGAAGTAAAGAAATCATTTCCTGAGGGCTATCGCGTGAGGTAGTCAGCTACAAGGTAACCAACGTGATTCCAGCGTAGACTGATATCCGCAGGTTCTTAGAGTAAGCAAGTAAGTAAGTAATCTTATGGTATTCAGAACAAACTATTATTCAATTCTTGGGTGAGCAAGGACTAGCTATCATTTCGGAACGTTTGTACCTCTTCTTGTCGGGCTTGGAATGGGCTTCGGGAAGTAGTATTGAAGGATATGGACCTTTACGTGGGGTCAACTACCAAGCTGTCTGTCCATTTGGTACGAAGTTAGATTACCATGAACCGAGAGTCGTTTCGGCAGGTTTTGACTTAGGCTTTTCCCGCTGCGGCTTTTAAAATAAGGAAGGGGAAATGTGAGAGTTAGTGACTTTCGTCACCCATCCAGTTTAGCTTTGTACGTGATCCCCTATCAATGGCGATAGTCCAGAAACATTCGTATCACAATCTTCCTCCTTCTCCAAGAAAGTGCAACATGTCCAGGGGATGTATACCTTCCCAGAATCAATTCATGAGCGAGCAGAGCGAAAATCTACTATACACAACGCTGATTACTGGAAGTATCTTAATCATGATAACGGGCTTTATATCATCACCTTGACCGGCTGGAAAAGAATGTTTGGTGCGGAGAAAGTTATTCATTGAGCAATTCGAAATATTCAAGGATAAGATCATTGTAGATCAATATGAGCCGGAGATTTAGATGTCCCTTCTCGACGGCCATCATCAATCAGTCGAATTACTCGATGAATGGATCAATACTCGAAGTCTTCTATGCGGCGAGCCACATCTCAGATCGACGAAGCCTACCGAGAATAGCGAGGATTGTGAGACCGTCACCCATGTCATACTATTTTACCAACTCTTTGTGTCGACTTCGAAGCATCAATAATAGCAAATTCAGACACCGTTCGAAACCTGGATGGAGCTTGGTCTCAACTGAGACGGCGTCTCTTCTCCTTCAAGCGCAATGACTCTCGATGAGTATTGCTGATAAATATTGCTGATGAATGCTGCTGATGAGTTAGATAGTTCTATACAGACTCAAGACAGGCTTACTAGATGTCTCATATGCTTGATCCATAAGATTGGAATAGAAGGCACCTAGCATGTTTCCATCCGAGATATACCTAGTACTCACATCTGTAGTTTGATTGACGAAGTCTCTACGACGATGATCACCAATAAGATGAATTATGCAGAAAATCTACTCCAAACACAGTAAGTAACTAGTGAGTACTCGGTAGTCCATCGCTCCTTCCTTAAGTCATATTGTTGTGTCCTTTATCCTCGCTTATGCTTCAAGTCTTGAATGCTGCCTAATACACGTGACAGCATTTTGCGTTTCTTCAAACACTTTCACTTCGTTTGCTTTCGCACCCAATTCACATCTTCTCTTCTCCCCATCCACTTCTTTCTTTCTTTCTTTCTTTCTCCAATCAATCTTGTGACTATCATCAGAATTTCTCGTTGACATTGTCGCATAATATAGACCTGGGCGTCAAATTGAGTAAGATACAGACCGTATTTCTCAGAATCTCTTCGATACATACCTTTCACTTTCGAGGCTCGTTTTTTGTGGTACTCGAGAGCATATTCCATAATATCAGCATACGATATACACTTTCAACGCTATTATATCTCAATTCAACATGTCTTGCCATTGTCTTAAGCCTAACAAGTTTCTCAAGTAGGTCGTTATCTCTATAATCAGTTGCTTTCTACTTGAGCATTGTAGGATATGAGTTGACGTACGCAGAAACTTAGGCAATGAGACTTTGTCTGTCAATGTTGGTATTGGTAACTCGGTATATATCCCTGTTTCATCTCTCAGTATGTTACCTGTTCTGGTCGACTTGTAGCGTCAAACCTTCACTGTTCACAAAACCATACTTCAACAGTGTACCACTTACTTTGATTCCAACAAACTATTCGACACCATGGCTGGAAAACAATGATTGATCTTCCTCAATGATGAGGATCCCAAAGTCTTTAAACTTTTTGTTGACTGGGCTTACAACGGTATGTTCTATTCCTATCGCAAGCACACCGTTTGAAAATCATTCAATTCGTATATCACTTACAAGAATCTTCAACAGGAACTGTTCAAAAGCCTCGAACCAAGATATACATCAAAAGCCAACCATCCCGAGTAGAAATTGGTCGTCTCAAGTTAGAGCTCCTCACAGAGTTTAATGGAAGCCTCAAAACTCTGGTCAGCTTATACTCACTTGCCGAAAGATGGGAAATCCAGAACTTGATGAATCGAACTATCGATGCTATTCAAGATGGTTATCCTGAGTTTGGTGCTGTCTTCGGCCCCGGTCTTGCGGCCCAAATTTGGCAAGAGACAAAGTTGGATTCTACCCTGCGAGAATTTTGTGTTGCAAGCACAGTTATGCATATGGGTAAGCACAATCCACTTTTCCTAATTTTTTCCCCTGGTGTTCGGACTTCTTTTCTCTTCTCATGCCAATAGATCACATCAATCTGCACGACCACTAATATCGTACCAATATAGATCGTGGTTGCACTAAGCTTCGCCAAGAAGTGATGACAAACTGTATCGTTCTTCCTGGATACTTCCAAGGCATGCTTAGATGGGTCTCCAGATATTTCCATCTGATGGGTCGACGTTCAAAGGAAGTTGCGGAACCATGGAACTCGAATGAAAGTTTTAGCATGCTTCATAGATCTAAACTCTGCCCCTGTCACTTTCACGTACACCCTGTAAGTATCAGCTAGTCTTTCATCTTGGACGAGTTGTCGAGCTGACTATCTATGTTCACCATACAGGCTGGTCAGGCACACAAAGGACACAAATTATGTGCAGTTCCGTTCATAGATTGCTCTCATCCAGGAGATGATAAGATGGAAGGACTTGACATCTTGAATCTGGTTATGGGATCTGCGATGATGGGATGCAACCTGTGCGATTCAGAGTAGGAGCATCGAGTACAAGATTGATTGAGACAATAGATATCAGATGGAAAGTCAGAGATAAGCTCAGCCTCGTACAGATGAGTGTGGTCGCGGTGCCAACTTCAATTATATTCACTTGCTTCATTTGCTGTATACTGTAAAGTTAGTGGGTGTCGGAATATGTAGCTTGCTCTATCTTCATTCAAATTTACTTGCAAGAAATACAAACAATTCTCCACAAGGCTCAACCATTGATCTCAATCCGTTTATGCTTTACACATTTTGATTTAGAGCGCTTGTGACCCCCTCCTTTGGGATCGAAAGGCTCATTGCCTGATACCAATAGAAGATTCATATTACATTACATTATAACACAGTTGTTTAGCTTAGTGAAGAGACTTGTACATAGAAATCGGAAATAGAAGTTGAATTAAAGCCACAGCAAAGGAACTAGTGGTAGCCATCCCCTCCCTCCCGCATGTCAAAGAGATCATTGCCTGACTGATTCTTATACAACAATTTAGTTATACTATCATATCACTGTATGATCTACTCTAGTGAAGAGATCCTACGCCACATAAATACCTTCCGTCAAAACGCCGGCACCATAGTTTTCTCGTAGGCTGTATAACATTCACTTGCGCAAGTGGCCGCAGATAGTACGACAAACTACCGCCAAAGGCAACCTTGGAAATTACTGATTCTCACCTTCAATCATCTACAGTGCTTTCCGTGGTCAGCACAGCGAGCAAGTCTTACTCTTATCTCTCCAAACCAAAACTTACATCAAAATCCCTGCAAGAAGTTTTATTTTTTCAGATCCCCGAATCCCACATGACGAGAAAAGGAAATCTCTCCGAAGACAAACTCCACTACCAACAATGACTCCCGATCCACAGCCCGAAATCGAATCTACAACAGAAGCCCGCCGCATCTCCGAGCTAGCTGGAAGAGATCCAAAAAATGAAAGAACTATGAGTATCTATATCACAGTGCGCTCGCACGTCTTCGAAATCCCCAGAGACATCGCCATCCACGCCTCCAAGCTGTTTGCCAAAGCATGGAGCGCGAATCCTCGCGCGCGAAGCATCACATTCAAAGTCCAGGATAAAGATGGCGAGGATACTGACATCGATCCGGAACACTTTTACACCGTCGATGCGATCGCCCATCTGGTGGGGTATATGTATGGAAATGAACTTGGGTGTCCGACTTCTGATATCGAGCGACATTCGGGGTGTTTGTTGGCGTGGTGTAAGGTGTATAAATATGCTGCGTATTTTGAGATGGAGGCGGCGTGTGAGAGGGCGTCGGCGAGGATGGAGAAATGTTTGGGGGAGAGAACGTTCTGTCGGGGAATTCCGACGAGGGAGGAGGTGCTGGAGATTTATGGGATGACGAGGGAGGGTTCAGGGGTTAGAGAGGCGTTGGTTGATAGGATGGCGAAGATGGGGAGATTGTGGGATGTGCTGGGGGAGGATCATGTAGGGGCTATTAAATCTTGTGTGGAGAATTGGTTAAGGAGCTCGAGTGCGTCGAGGGAGTTTCAAGAGGCTGTTTGGATGAGGATTGGGGAGGGGGAGGAGGAGAGGATAGAAAGGATTCGAGAAGTTAGGGCTGCTTAAGGGATGTGGCAGAAGTGGATTGATGTTCTGGGCCCTTCAGGCTACTTCTCGCGGGTGTGTTCGTACTTCATGTGACTTGAGGAACTAGGGCCGCAGGAGGGTGGGAGTACTTGCTTTAGTTCATAATAGGACTTTGATGGGGAGTCCATACATTTTCTTCATGAGTCATAGTTGCAGAATGGCTGGAAGTTGGTGTTAATGTAATAGAATCATTCTATTACGCATAAACAATCTAGCAAACTTGTATCCCATCACAAGTTTCCACCTTAGATCCTATTGCATATAGCTTCATAATTCGAGTTCCGTAATACTAGAAGCACGTTTTTCTCTCATTTTACAAAATATTCAAAAACAATTGCAATTCATATACTTCGCACTCAGGTAGTGCCGTTAAGTACCCGACCTACTCCATTCTTTTGCATGAATAACCAACCCCATTTGGTCGTATCTACAATCGCCGCTACCAGTCTCAGAGCCCCGCTGTCCCACCTCAATCAATCTCAAAATTTGAACAGACTACCTACCAACTCTCATCGTTATCATCATCATCCAAAAAAGAACCAGGTATAACACTCTCTATATCAAAACCCACAAAAGCCAACCACCTCGCTAATTCAAAATCGACCCTCCACTCCCCTCATCAAAAGACATCAGCGTATCCCTACTCTCATGATATTCAGCAATTGCTTCGATTCGCCCTTGGTCTGAGTCCGCATCCTCCTCTTCTGTGGATATCGTATTGCAATCGGATAGATGAGGCGGTGAGTCATCTAAATCAAGAGTGGAGATATCTTCTAGATATTCAGAAGAAGGCAGAGGTGACTCGACTTCTAGGGGAGAATTTGAGTTTTGGAAGAGGTTAATATTATTTGGGCTATGAATAGAGCAATCCTCATAGCTACACGGGGTTATCTGTTCCGAATGTCTTTGTAGCTCTGCAGAAACATCGGTGTGAAAATCAGAATGACAAATGCATATATCAGACAGTTCTCTTTGCAATCCTGCGAATCCGGTTGAAAAGTAAAGACTCCGCATTTTCAACACGATGAGGCTGCGTAAATCGTATTTTGTTGCTTGGCTTTGATATATAAATTGGATTTCCGCGGGAAGGGGCATCCAATATCCTGTTCGTGAGGTATCTCTGCAAAGAACATACTCGGATAAAGCTTCGTGGGCCAAATCCGAAACTCCCATCTCAACAGCCAGTTGGTGGAGGATAGCCCATTCAGAGATATGTGTCGAGCTAGAATAGTTGTCTGGATCACGTCGAGGTAGTGGGTATGTTGGTTCGTAGATCCAAACGAAGAATTGGTTGAAGGTATGGATGTCATCTTCGTAGCGGTAAATTACCTTTCTTTGGGCTTGTTGAAATTCCTGGAATGATGATTCGATTGACGAGAGTTCAGCGGCGGAATTGTAGTTATGATCTTCGGCCATTTGGTTCTCGAGGTGAGACCGAAACCAGGGAGATTTTTGCCAGAGAAGACTCTCATGGAAGAAGAATAGCATTCCCTCTGAACCTACGATTACGGTAATGATTCCCGAAGATGCATGTCTGGTGATTGTGTCAGACTTGGTGGATGTGAGTGAGTATCAAAAGACTGTGATATATAGCAAAGAGTGTTGAAAACAAGTTAGGGCAAGGGAAGCAAAGAACGAACCAGGTATGCTAGAATATTGGTAAATGGATAACGAAACCCAAATACTGAAATAATGAGAGCAGAAAAACTCGGAAAAGATACTGGACAAGGCAGGTCAAAGACAACAAGCATGTAAACATGTACTTACTCGTAGATACAACAGCTCATGACTGTTATGGTATTTAGAAGACTTGATTCGCAGTAAGATGATAGATATTCAAGCAGATGAGCGAGGGGAATTTTGATAAGTAGAAAGATTGCGAGTGATAGCAGAGACGGCAGAGATGGCAGATGGGGGGATTACAATATCTCAAAGTATATCTTCCTGGACATATCTTCTGTGGTAGCCATCGAGTAAATATCCATCTATCCTTTTCGGCGCTTCCGATCTCAATCTGTCTAAAATGCACTTGCAAACGCTCATTATTATGGTTGCCTCATCATCCTGATGTCTCGGGCTCCAAAGTGATATTCTAGATTCATCAGAGAATACTTTTCTCCTCTTTCGAACCTTGCCAAGGAAAGGGGTTCTTGCAGAAAATGATATCAATTACTATCAGTTCAGAATATGCCAGGGAATAGATTCCAAGTTTTGATAACATGGGGAAGTGGATACACCTGGACAAAGCAAATATTTGTGGAGAAGGAAGAAGCGAGCAAATGTAGCTATCCGAGAAACCCTACATTTCAAGGGAACTCTGCATCTGCAACCATGAAAGCAAGTCACCCACCTGGGAACAATGTTATTCGTGCTCGGTAAGATTTGAGGGCATAGCGTGGTATAAACAATAGAGAATATATCACATCAACTTCGGAGTTTCGAATCGGCGCATTAAATGCTAGCATTTTAGATTTCAAAGGCCTTTCCACCTTTTTGAAAAATTCCTTTTGTGAGATTAGTGCTAGACTATAGATTTAGGAGCGGTTAGATCGCTACGTGGTATTTTGATGTGCCGAAAATGATTGGGCCTTTAAAAACACTGATTGACGACATACAAAAGATGAAATGTGATAGTGTTAGGAATTTCTATATTATAGATTAAAGAGTAAAAGGAATGGGCTCCAAATTTATATTCAGCTAGATGATTGCAATTGGTATGAAATTTGAATGCGTTTCAGATAATAGCCTGCCTCTAAATAGTAAAAGCTTCCATCTAGCTGATAGGCCTAGTTGCTTAATACCTTAAAGATGGTGCAATTTAACTCGCCACAATTCGACATCGATTATGGGCCATTCCTCATATTACACTAATCTGGACATGCAAAAAAAGAAAATGTTTGGTAAGTTTGGATGCTCAACAGGACACCACCACCGTTATCTTCGGGTAACAACATCTTCAGGGGCTCACATGATCATAGTAGGGCTATCTTCTGCTACTTTGGATTACAACCAGACAAAAAATACTCTTCAATTGTTAGCCGTCATTGGCTTGAATTGATTCTTCCCCCCAATATTGATATTTTTAATCTTCTCAAAAAGACATAAATAATGGGAGACGTTCAGGGAAGTGGCACTTTTCTGGTCATCATTGTTTTACACAAGAAGGGCATATACATAAGCTTCCTCTCGCAGAATAACTACGGCTAATCTGACTTCTCCAGATTGGTGAGAAATCACAAACTCGCAATCCGTTCAAACATTGTTTACTTAACAGTATGGTCGCTCGACCAATAGAATCGTGGAAAACAATGCCTCAGTGAATTTCACCGTGATTTCGACTTCCTTCCAGTTCCTTCCGGGAATTTTTGTTTGAAAGGTTTTGGAAACAATAAGCATATTCTGGAAGTATAAGACAATTGCTGGGAAGTTTAATTTTTACTGGGATATCTAGTGTTGGGTTCCAGAAGACAAAGGATTCTCATCCGTTTTTCCCGCATTTTGGTTGTTCCTATTCACTTTCGGTAAATCTGCCCGTGCTCATTTGGAAATCTGTACTAGCTTATTTACAACTTTAAACTAGTCCAACCGAAGCGCATAGCATTTTCTACATTTCCTACCGTATCAGCAACTTATCATAGCTCCTCCAAAAAAGGTCGATCGGATACAAGACTTGACCATATAATCATCTCAACAGGTCCACACACAAATCTTTCACGACTTCCAGATGGTAGTAGTGACAAAATTTTCTCATAGAGATGTGGCTCATGCTGATTAAACCGTGCAGTCTAGAAAACGCAAGGAGCCCAAGAAAATTGAGGATATGGAGGAGGTAGAGGAGACGGAAGATGAGGAATCTGAGAAATCTGAGGAAGACGAGGAAGATGGGAGCGATGAGGGAAGTGAAGAAAACGAAGAAGATGAGGAAGATGAGGAAGATGAGGTAGAGGAGGAAGTCGAGGAAAAAGACGAAGATGGGAGCGATGAGGGAAGTGAAGAGGGGGAAGGGGAGAATGACGATGATGAGGAAGGCGAGGAAGCTGATGACGAGGCGGAAGATGGTGAAGAAGAAAAAGACAAGGAGGAGACAGTCAATATTCCTCCAATGACTGAGGATCAAAGAAAGATGTCAGTATACTTCATTTCCATCTCTATCTTACTGACATACCTTAGAGCTGCAAATTTTAATCCCCGCGCACCAACTGCGAAAGATGCCATCTTCTTTTTCATAATTCTTGATTGTATCGAGACTCCACCAGATGTAAGCTAGCTTTCTTTCTTTGCTACACACTCAAGGATCTATGATGTATTCAATCTTGTTCAACTTTTCACATTCCTTGACTTTGACTTTCAGACATTGTCCCTTTAATAAGCGATCATGTGATTTTATTTACTAACATCATCGTTCCCTATGCAGATCAATTGGAAGCTTGTTGCTGAGCGCGCTGGATGCTCCAATGCTTACATGGCCCGTTCTCGCTTTGGTCAAACTAGGACCAAATTTCGGAAATATTTCGAGATAGATCCACAACCGCTCGTCCCTAAGATTGTTGGAATGCCTCCTCCAGAAGAATATAAGTATCCTCCCGTACCCGATTCTGAGAAGAAAATCTTGACCGACCCGGCTTATGACAGACCCGTCAGACGAAAGGCGGTCAGAGTTGGCAATCTCCAAAATATTGACCCCAAGAAGCCCTCGAAGTTCAAACAAAATCGCGGCCAAGGATATATTCTTAACAGGAACGATGATACTGCAGCGACTTTAGTCGTTACTGCTAATCACCGCCACGACTACGACTCCGAGAATGAGTTTCAAAATAAAGAAGAATTCGACTTGAGCAGATATCATGGATTTGACGAAGAAAATAACACCCTTACTGTCAGCGATCAAGGCTCCGACAATGAAATTAAAGAGGCAGCCCCGGTGGTCTTAGATGGATTGTCACACAATTTCTAGGAAGATCTATCTGTATCTAAAGCTTGTAAGTGACGTATATTACCTATTCTCTATGGAGCGAGCTAACCATCCTTTGCAGATAAACATTCATTTCATAGCTCGGGGATACATCAATAGACGACATTTATGAGAATGATAGATACGTGAATTTACACGGTTACAGTAGAGTGGGGAAGCATATCAAGTTGAATAGGGTTGTTTTCATGTGTTCGATGGCGGCTTTTCAATCGCGCTCCGACAGTCTTTTCGGGTTTTCGTTCAGTAGAATCAGGATAGAGATGTGCAGACGAAGAATGAATGAGAAAAAGTAGTAGATGTATGATCTAGCTTCAGTGTTCCATGCGCATTTGTGTCAACCTTTAGAATGGTGAATCTGCACTTCACAGAGGAGCACTTTGCAGTGACCAAAAAAATTAATTATCCGCAGTTAATGCCTTGAAAAGGTAAATCAAAAAATATGCTAAGGTGAAAATAAAGAAACTTCGTGCAAAGATACCTAATATCTATGCCTTTCTCATAGTTTCATCCACAGTTCCGGGGAGCCACAGACACGTTTTATGGTTTCTTCTGCCGTTTGCCGCATGGATCCGGTTTGAAGCTTCATGCACCTTGTCTTTAGAGCCGATTATTCTTGCCCTCGAAGGTCGTCTTGCGAATGATGCAATGTATCACACCATGGATACTTACATTATCTCCTCTGCACTGATAGCTCTTTTGGGAGACACCGCGTATTCTTTTGGAATTTTTGTACGAGGGGACGCTGGTGGTGTTTGTAAAATGTATGGTGACGTTCGTGCATTCACTTTACATTCATGTACAAACAAACATCCCGAAAGTACTTGAAGATCAAGTCCAAAGTCATTGAATTTATTTATAGCTAGCTAGTACATGTTCTCATACTCGGACCTCGTTGAGCTCCACTCAACATGATACAGTCTTTCAAGGGCGTCGAGCTTCTAGCATATTGATGCCGGCTCTTGATCTGACTAACTAACTCAGGATCTAACATGTATGGTAATTACTCGATAGGGCTAGTAGTCTCGAGTATCTCAGTGTGAGCATTCGAGGTTTTCCAAAACAATATATTCATTCATGTAGAGACATTACCCCGCTCATGAACCACATCAACGGATACTCAAAGCAAAAGGAACCTACTGAATTCATTCATTCTATGAGCATGAGTTGATACAAAATGGAAAAAGACATGTGAGAATGACCAACCTCCCAGAATGAACATGATGTTGAGTGAATAGTGAAAGATGGTTCCCACTTCCTTCAATCAGGCGAGAGAAATGTGAGGGAATGTTTCAATGAGCACCGTTCCCATGGAGACATATAAAAACATCATCGTCGCACTTTCAACTCAAACTCTCCATCCCACTTACACAACATTTTCCTCAATCTTGATCAACTTGCATACTCAAATCCTCATACCTTTTGGTAACTTCGACGATTAATATATCAATCCCTTGCATTACTTTGCAAGTTCATCATGTACGTATCATTACTTTTATCTTTTTGCGACATTTTCATCGTGCTGACTGGTTTTGTATATATAGATCATCTCGTCGCATCCCATTCCTCCATAAAAAGAATCTCAACAACCATAATCACAATGTCCGATAACGATGTTGCCAGTTCTCAAACTCAAGCCAATGGTGGTATGAGCCAGGCCGATGTTGATTTTCTGATGTGTTGCCTTCGCAACACCACCGGTGGTTCTATCCAGGTAAGTCATATTGTCGCATTGCGATCGCTCTCATCCTGCGGCTGTGTACTTCACTTCCACATTTTATCACCACGATCATGTATCACACCTTCAATTGTCTTTCAATTACACCTTCTTTGAGAATCATTACAAGCATTTTGTTCTTGCGCTTTCCCATATCACCTCACCTTCACTTGGTGGCTCTGCGTACATGTATGATTGTCGCGCGCACCGCATCTCACGTACCCTTCACTTTCAAATCACACTTTATCTTATACGCTTTTGCACATTCAAATACTGTTCCCAATAGCTGATTAGGGAAAACTTCTAAAGGTTGATACTCAAAAAGTCGCCCAACTCTTGAATTACAAGAACCCAAGATCGGTAAGTCATACTTTCGATTATCAAACCCTTCCTTAGCTAATTCTCCGCTTCAGGTTTCGAACAAGGTCTCTTCCATCAAGAAGAAGTTCGATCTTCCCTTCGGTGCCTCTTCACGCACTGCTGATGAGGTGGCTGGTGGCAAGGCCGGCAAAGGCGATGCCTCACCAAAGAAAGCATCGGATGCTAATGGCACCAACGAGCCTGCTGTCCCAACCACACCTTCCAAGAACCGCGTTACCAAAGCTAAGGCAACTCCCAAGCCCCGTGCCAAGAAGACACCAGCAAAGAAATCTGCCAAGAAAGTCGAGGAGTCTGATGAGGAGCTCTCCGACGCCAAAGACGAGGAAATAGAGGACGTCAAGGAGGAAAGCAAGGAAGATGATGATGAGTAAACTATCTCTAGTCGTCGATTCAATGGGCTGTCGTTGGTAGCTGGTACGAGCGGGGTTGCATATATGTTACTCAAGCTCGTTATAGGTGCCGGAAGGTGGTTCTGTTCAGCGTTGGATTTATAAAGTTCTGACAATTCTCTTCTTCTTTTATGTCCATGGCGATTCGGGTTAATGATAAATACGAGGAATTATGGGGAGGAAGGTTGTTATCAGCCATGGATATTAGTAATTATCTATTCCTCGTCTTTGGGAAAAGGGACGATTCGTAGATGGGTGTTGGTTATTGCAACTTCAAGTTGCTCTGAAAACACTATCTAGGATGTCTATAAAATTATGAATTCTTTTAATTTCTACTTGACCTTGAATTACTTTTGTCTTTGCCATTCAATACTTGACCAGGTGAAAACCCAATGCTACGATAGAAAAAAAGCAACGTGAGGTCTGTGCAAACAATGTCAGCCAAACGGAAACCACGCAGGATTTGTGTCACATTCTTCGCAATGCTCATTTTCTGATATCCAAAAGCTGCAAATCCATATTCCATGCATAATTCGACTCGAAAAAATTGACAGAACCTCCCATCAAGCAGCTAGAACTCATGCTCAAACCTGGCTGGAAGATTCGGGGAGCGGGAAGATTTTACTGGACATGCTTCAGATAGAAGGGAGAAATGGCTGGAAAATTCACTTTTACTTCTATTTCTGCCTGCTAGTTGAATTATTACTATATTATCTTGGTTCATTTTTGCTTTGCTATGCTGCTTCTCAACCGCTTCGCTTCTTCTCTGCCCGCCAAAACCACATCCAAACGCAACCTCACGATCTCACAACAACAACACCCACCATTTCGCAAATTAGCTTGCGCATCCATAGATATCGTCTCAAAGACGCATTACTTCGAAAACAAATCATTTCCCCTTTTACAAAGTAAGTTTCTCTTCGTCTGGCATCTCAAGATCTCATCCTATGGGTGGCGGATAGTGATAATGATCAATCTCAAGTAACCTCAAACTGACTCGAAGACAGAATCAGCCCTCGCAAACATGACAACTTTGACTTTGTCCGCGAAGGAGACGGAGATGCTCGTAGCTGTGATGTCTGAGATGGGGGAGATTCCTAGCAATGTAAGCTCCGATTGTTCTCCTTTTCCTTTTGGTGTACCATTTTTGGGTCTGGGCCTTGTGTCGTTCTGGTGTTGCGCCCGTTTGTGTTTCTGTTCATATCAGGTAAATTTCATGACTTCTGATGCCAAGTAATGGCATAGAGTGACACTCATCTGATATCGTCTACTCCAATTACGTATACTCACCAGTGCGCTTCATGCAACATTAACTGCATACTTACAATATCCATTAATAGATCAACTTTGACCGTGTCGCCTCTCGAGTCAATGTCAAGTTTGCCAGAAACGCCCGCCAAGGCTTCAAGAAGCTGTTTGAGAAGTTAAAGGTATGATACTTTCTCAATAGCCCACCTTCCGGTCACCCATATTTACACTCTACTAACTCGATACTCACTAGGATCAAGCCGGACCATCTCCAGCTGATGAGGATGGTGCTACCCCTCCCAAGACCCCCTCTCCCACCAAGAAAACTTCTCCAAAGAAGAAGGTTGGCCCAAAGAACGGTCCCATCAAGGCCGCCCCTAAGCCCAGAGGAAAGAAGGGCGCAGTCAAAAAGGAAGTCAAGGAGGAAGAAGTTGATAGCGGTGATGAGTTAGCAGAACCAGTATTGGACGACGAAGATGGCAAGTCACCAGAACATATTCCTTCCCTCAAAGCCGAAATTCCTGGAAAGAACGCTGTGGTTGGCCCCTCCACTGGATCTCCTGAAAGTCTTCAGATTTCAGATGAGGTTGCTAGAATGTCTGTCGTCGAAGCCGAAGAGACACTCTCTACTTCCATTGAAGAGAGTCCTGTTGACGAGCAAGTTGATCTCGATGAACAACTCCTAGCTGCCCAGTCTGGTATCAGTGTTGATGCTTATCGACACTGGAAAGCACTCAATGACTATACTTTCCTCCAGAATTCTTGATGAGGGCTATAGACTGGGCTGAGCTCTAAGCTTCAAATTTTCTTCTAGACTCGCCTTTCTTGTGGACTTTTGCATGGCCTTAACTCGGGGTCATCTTCATCGGATCAATTCATTGCATTTCCTTACTTCATGCTTGCATCTACATCTGCTAATCCCAGTTACTTCGACAGAGGATTCCGAGTAAATACAACTCTTTTCCCTTCCCTATTCCACTCGCTACTCTCGGTCTAAAGGATGGATAAGTTTAAGATGGATTTTCTTTATTGGTTTGCAAATTGGTTCTGGTTTGAGCACGGCATGTTTTTTCTCCTTCGCCAGGATCGTACTATGGGGGAGATGAGAGGTCTCTAGGAATACGACAGGGAAGATATGATATCATATGGAAAGCCCAGAGAAAGGATTAGTGCGTAGTCAATGGCCATAGCTATAGTACCTCCAGAGTTTGCTCTTCAATGCAAGCTCCTATGACCCGAAATCCATTGTTTACTCATGCTCCGTGACACACAAATACTCTTTCTCCATGTGAAAGACCTCTCATATCAGAGAAAAAATTCTTTCAGATTCACTGTTAGAAATATGATGCCACCATCCATCTTTTTTGACGAACCCAATATCGAACAACGAAATCAATCTTTGATAACACAACCCCTCACAGCCACATTCCCAATTATTTTACACATATGACTCTCAACAACGACAGCCTGCCCTAGATCTACAACTTGACTACTACAGACAAGCCAGTAAGTAGCAACCGCTCTACCACAGTCTAGACATTAAAAAGAAAGACGTTTACTCTCCATTTCCCTCATCTCCAACTGTCAGCCTTGCAAGATCGGAAGACCTTATCCATCTCTCCCTCCGCTGCCACCAGATTTTGTCTTCCTTTCCGATCAGACACCAAACACTCCATTCACTTTTGAAAAAGACTAACGTATTACATTGTCTTCAATAGTCAATCCATCGAGTTGAGAGACCTCAACAATACATCCACACATCTAAGATATACATCATACAACAACAGCTTGCCCATCATGGCTCCAGCTTCCAACGAAGAACAATTCAAGTTCCTTATTAGCTGTATTCGATATAGCAACAATGGAAAGGTATTTCTCCTCCACTGCAGCGTCTTGCTATCCATATACTTTCCTACCACGATCCTATTCAAGCTGTTTTCGAAGACGGCTGCTCAAATCTCACAGGTAGACTTCGGTCAAGTAGCTAAAGAATGCAAGATCGTTACCAAAGGCGCAGCGTAAGTTTTCCCCTTCCCCTTTCTCCACCCACCAATCTCCCCAACCCACCTCCCCATCCTTTTCCACTCCAAACCGCACCTCCATCTAACCTCTCATCTCCCAGCGCAAAACGTTACGAACGCATGATGCGCTCCCACGGCATCGCACCCAACGCTGCATCCATCAAGCCCGCGCCAGGTCCCTCCTCCACCCCCAACTCTCGCGCCTCGGCTCCCACCTCCGCACCGCGCGGCAAGTCCACCGGCAAGAAACGCAAGTTTTCCCACGAAGATGAGAATGCGGATGATGAGGAGGATTTTTCATCCGGCCAGGGCCCGAGCGGAAATAAGGTCAAGAGAGAAGTGAAGAGCGAGATGGGTGCGAGAAGTGCGGTTAAGGAGGAGATGTATCGGGAAGATTCTCCAAGCGCGCAGTTGAGAGAGGGGATGCAGATGCAGATGGGTTTGGGAGCTGGATTGTGTGATGTGAATAGGGAGTTGGTGGGTTATTATAGTGGGGGGAGTAGTGCGGCGGGGAGTGTTAGTGGGGAGGGGGGTGATTTTGAGTTTGGTGATGGGGAGGAGTATGCGGGTGGTGTGGTTTCGGGTGGAGTGGGTACTACTGCTTCGGCTTCTGGTGCTTTGAATGCATATGGTCAGCCCCAGAATGGATATGGTTTCAATGCAGGTGGTTATGGTGGGATGATGGGCGGTCACGGTATGATGGGAAGCGGAAGTGGTACGGGTAGTCACGGTGGACAGAACATGACGGCATCTAGAAGTCGTGCTGCAGGATCGAATGGAATGGGTATGAGTGCTCAGCAGTATTAGTCTATGGTACAAGGTTATGAAAGCGAGGGTGGTTCGGAGTCCTTCGTTGGTTGAATAGAAGATTCTGGGTTTCGTTTGGTCGTTGGAGGTTGATGAATGTTCGTTGGGGGTGTCTCGTTACTTATGTCGTCTGCAGCTATAAAATTCTTTGAGGGAAACCTGTGCTCAATTCTTACGAATTGAGAAATTTGGGGGAAGACCTGCAATTTCTTCAGCTGGTGGTAAATCGGCGGGATCAGTATTTTTGCTCTTGAAACATGAAATAGATAGGAAATAGAGATTTTCAAGCTATCATTCATGCAGTTCTCTAGATATTCAATCAGTTTTCGAGTATCTAAATTGTGTTTTACTCCATCTGCACCTTTACTGTGAACAGACTACCCTCTAGAATCTCAGGGTGAGCTCATAGATGATGGTAAGCATTATGGCTTGTTCTTCTCCTCGTCATATGTAAGCTGGTAAGCACAAGTACAATTACTATATGGAGAGTGTGATGTTAACTCTTCTTACTTATCACATACCCTCTTCAACGTGTGAGTTCCAAGCCTGCGGTGGACTGTGTAACTATGTATGTGTCGTTTCGTTTCGTCTAGTCTAATCCAGCGAGCTTAAATGATCTCGATGTCTACTCCTTAACTCTTAGCTTCTACCAATTAGCACACAGCGTCAATTATAAATGTGGCTAGCAGAATTGGGGTTATAGAGATTAAGAAGATGCATGCAGCACGGGGGCGATGTTTACTAGTACGCTGCCGTGCTGCATACTGGTTGCTAAATCGCTGCAGCTCGGGTATCTAGAACCTCACTAAAGAGAGGCGAGCTAATAGTTCAAGTGTTTCTAGTACCTCCTATTATTACATGGTAGGTTTCACACTGTCAGGGGCACCAGCTGGCATGGTAGTTTTGCTTGTTGCTTTATAGATACTAGTTTTCAGACACAGCATTTCAGCAGCGGCTGTTGCAGGCTTGGCAATTGCCTGGGTAGCAGCCGAGCCGTCTGTTGTTATTTTAATTTATAAAATTAAGGAAGCTAGATGCAGGATCTTGATGCGATGAATGTATAGTGACATTTCCGCAACGCCGCAACTACTTGTGCGAGCAGAGTGGTACTGGTGGAAGTGTCATACTGTATAATTAGAGTTCCTATGCCGTCTTCTAAGCCTCTTGGCAGAATGGCTTCGTGATTGAAGGGAGTTAGAAAACGTTACAGGCAACGATCTTTTCAGCAGCTGCTGTCTTCAGTATAATTAGATTAACGGAGGTAGGCATATTGCAAGAAGCAATGCAGAAGTCAGAGTCGAGCAATGTTCTAATGCAATATGGTTGAAGGTTGTATTCTGAGTTGCTCCGCAATGATCGCCGCAGATCTTGCCGCAGATCTTGCTGGACCCTCGCGGAAGACTCTTCTGCTGAGTTGTTGTTCCTTATGGCTTATGAGCTAGCCCTGTTGGTTATATTGACGCTTCTCCGTTCCAAAGAATAGATTCAAGTTCTGCCAATTGTATCACTAGTTAGCTGGTAGCTAGCACAAACAAAGACTTTTGTATACTTCTTTCTGATCTTGAGCTCTGTAGGCGTTTGAAGTAGCCACCTCAGATCAGCGAGACGTGAATTGAGTGTTGTGAAAAGGCAATTGCCCTGGGAAACCCATGGTAACTGGAAGCAGAATAAATGACGAAGTCTATGACGGCCTTTTGAAGTATAATCTTCAAGCCGAACACTTATGCATACTCTAGGAGAGAGCCATAAACGCCTCAACAACAGTTTCTACTACGATACCAGAACATCTAAATTCTCCAATTCTTTGATGTCACCCGGAATATTCCCTTGAGTTGGTCGGTAATGTAAGATTATCCGGCCCGATTGGATACCGGCACAAATTTGAAGTTGTTGATACTTTAAAATTGGTCTTCGCTTGCGGCGCTTCTCCCTCTCTCTTTATCTTTCTCTCTCCAAAACCCAAACTCAACCTTTCTACAATCCACGATCAATTCTTTTTCCACCTCATCACTTGAGCAAATAGAGTCCCTCTGTCTCTGCTCTTCTATTTTGAATTATCTTAGGGCTCCTAACTGGTACGTTTTCAAAGATTTAAATTTCTTTTCCTCGTCTTGATGGCAGTATTGCTGCGACTTCCCCATCACTACCTTAACCCACCTTCCCGATCTAGCAGTCACACTCTCCCAACACAGAATTCAAATCAGTATATCCTCAGTCAATCGAGGTGTATCTGATCAGGGCTCTGCCGATTCACAGAGGACTCTTCCTCTTGGTGATGATGGCGTCGCCGAAGCAATACTTGTCTTAGGGCGGGTTTGCGGCGATCTGAAGCCCGACGAGATCAATAGGATGGAGACCACTTCATTCTTTCTGCACACTAGTATGCATTCATGTACTGTGTTTGCATGAACTACCATCAGGCATCTGTTCCCGAAGGACCTTCTTACTTGGCGTCATGTTTGACCAATGCCAGAACTGAAATCCCCAGAACGGTGGGAAACACACCCATAATTCTAAGACAGATTAGATTTCATCTGGATTCAGACTCATTTACCACTTTCCCTTTGGTAGATTTGTCCAATTCTTATCTTTCCACGATCTCATGCTATTCCCAATCTTCGTGCTTACCCTTTTCCACTCCAAATTCACTACATTTCTTCTCTCAATCTGAGATTCCCCGCTTCCAAAGTCCGCTTTCGGAGTCGCTACCTCATATCTGCTAGAGGTCTGACAAGGTGCTCAACGAAGCAACAAAGGCTAACAAGTATTTCTTCGCTCTAGATATTTCCTCTTTTCTTCTTCCAACAACGAAAAGACAGCCACACAACGCATGAACAGTCAGTTCTTAACAAACATGCCTTCAACTGATGGAGATGGCGATGTGACCGAGGGACTTGGTCGTGACCAAAACCTCAACAACATCAAGAAGCAACAATCTCCCCGTCGTGGCTCTGTTGCTACACCTGTCAAGTCTAGCATTCTCTCCAATTCGCAAGCTAAAATAAACACCAAAGATCTATTCGCCTCGATCGAGATCGGTGACGAGATAGATGACGAGATAGATGACAGCTATGATCCCGTCACGCCATCCAATTCATCAGCTAAAGCTGTTCGTGGTAATGGAAGAAAGACCGTCGGGCCTCTATCTCCAAGAAAAGCTGCGAGTAATAAGCGCTCATCTAACAAGATCACTAAGATCAATCCATCTTCAAGTAAGTCGCTCGAAGAATACGATGTTTTTGTCATCGACACACATCTTTCGCTAGGATGTACACCATTGAAGTCGTGCTTGAGCTAACCTTTTACAGAGAAGATGGAGATCAAGGAAAGCCGCGAGATCTTGAAAAGCGTAATAGGCGGCGAATATTCCGAGGAAGATGACGATAAATGGGAAGACGAGAACGATGGAGTCGAGTCCCCCAAAAACACTTGGGCCAAAGCTGGTAAGGTAATTGGGTCTGCTGGAAAGCCAACACATCCATATGGTCGTGTTGAAGGACGCAAGCTTGTACCTTGGCACAGTAAGTTTCTATTCTTCATATCAACATCGAGAACAAGGACTAATCAAACTATAGGACCAAGAATGGCGGAGAAATTGATTCAATGCATCAATTATGAATGTCGCCGTAAAGGATTGAACATTCCGTGGGACGATATCGCTCACAGAATGGACCCTGGAAGTTCTGCTGCAGCTGTCATGCAGTATATCAATAAGATGCGTGAAACTCTTATCCCCGAAGGTCACCTTGTTCCTCCTCCTTTTGCAAAGAAGAACCCTGTCAATCCAAAAGTTCGTGGAATGATTCGCGATATGAAGTCTGACGACCCAAAAGCAACTCGTGAAGTTACTTGGGATGAAGAAATCGAGCACCCGAAGGAGAGTTTGAGTATTCCTGGTGTCACCAGAGGCTCAGGAACTTATCGTCGCGATAGGGCTCGATGGCAAAACAACAAGGCATCCATCGTCGAAGAAACACCTACCAAGACTCTCTCTAGTCGACAACGTCCTCAAAAGCGAGCATCAGAGGCAAAGACTGGACAAAAAGAGAAGTCTTTCATGGTCAAGAAGGAGCGATCCGAATCAATCGACCCGGCCGAAATGCCATCGGACGAGGATTACGACCCCGGAAACCGCCTTAAGATCAAGGGCCATCGCAAGCGTAAGGTCAAGGTCAAGACCGAGCGTAGATATTATTTGGATGAGACCAGCGATTTCGAGGGTGAATCATTTGAATATTCTGAGGATGATGACTTCATTGCAGAGACACCCTGCAAGAAGCTTGCCGGAAATCATGCAAAGACACCTTTAGCCAGTTTGCCACTCAAGCTCAAGATCTCATCTGATAAGCTAAAGAAATTCGCTGCAGGCACTTCCATGAACTTTGGTGAGGAGAAAGTTGCAGTCAATGAGACCGAGTACAAGAGCAGATATAGCGGTGGTGATGATGAAGCAGAGACGATTGTCGATGCTCACGCTCGCGATTTTGATGATGTTTTTGGTCATGGAGGCTTGCATGTCAACAATGGTATCGCTGGGCTTCAAAATCAGCTTTTTTACACTCCTTACGGCTACAATGGAGGCATGAACCCTGGATCCGGTACTTACAGCCCACAAGGCGCATTGACTGCTCAAGCCTATAATCCAGTCTACGACCAAACTCTTAGCAATCATAACTTTATGAATGCCGAGACGAGACCGTATCAAAATACACATAGTAACTACCAATCCTCCAACCAGCAACTCTTCGGCTTTCCACATTGCGGCTCAACACCTGTCATGAACCATGGCTTGAGCTTCGAAGGCCTGGGTGAGGCGATGCAAGATCTAAATGGTGGTCATGACAGCATGAGTTCCTTGCAATCTAGCATCGGACTCCGCTCGGACACCAGCGGATTCGGTAACTTTACTGACTCTGTCGGTCCCACTTATGGCGGATCAACATACACCTTCATCGATCCCAGCGAACTTTCTAATCAGGGTTTCAAATCTTTCGATGATGGTTTTGTTCAAGCTTACAATTCCAGCCAACCTCAAGCTTTCAACCCCAATGGCACCAATCTTTGAGTCCCTTTTTGCCTTTGAAGATGAACAATCTTGGCACAATAGATATTGACGATACTTCCACGCCAAATCTTATCCGCCAAATGGATCCAGTAATTTTCAAAGCAATTTCGATCTTGCAATTATTTCTCTTTTCATTTTCATTCTTTGTATTAACGATTGATTTTGGACCAGTTGGATCATACTTCTTTCACCGCAAATTTGGCTTCTATTCGCTGTCTGTTGGCGTTTGGATGCTCGCGAGTTGTCATGAAACCCTGGCTATCAATCTTTCGTAATATTTCATCATCGTTGTATGTAAACCCTGGTTATCATATTTAGGAAGTCTTTGGGCTTGGCGGAGGGCGTAAACGGTTTCATAGACAAAAACATTTGGTCGTTAATTTGCTTTGCTTGTCGAAACTGATGTATCCGCACAAGCGATCTTTCCTTTTCGCTGCCTCATTCGACTGCGATTTTTCTCTTGTTTCCGAAACCTCTCTTGGTGAACAGGAGTTTTCGTAAGTTGTTTGCTGGTCGCATAAAATGGGAATTTTCATCGTCATTCGTTCAACAGTAGAAAGGGCGGGGGACACAAGACCTTGTATCATAGATGCTTTAAATAACAATCTTCTATGACATTCCTGTTGCCTTGTGAAAATGCATGTGAGTTCTTGTGCTGACATTATTGAATCAAATCAGGCAGTAGTGTGCCTCTCATGGTGTGATGCAACTTTGTATGTGATGTTAGACCCTGCAACTCAGTATGCCTTCCACTTGGAACAGATCAAGTGCGCTCTGTAGAACGGTGCCAAGGGTATGAAAAGCACTGTTCTGCAATGTCAATACATCAATTTTGCTCAGTGAAGTCACCTCAGAAGGTTGGCGATGGTATTTCGCTAGATGCTGCTGCAGGTTTCTATCTTGAACTTGACTGCCGAGGAAGGATGGTTTGCAAAATAACTACATGGTGAGCTTATGCAGAAGTATAACCCTTTGTTCAATCTATATGAATGAGCATCGAGGCAAAACTGTCAAGTGATTGTGGAGCTTCGCTTCACCAAGCTGCGATTCGGGAGCTTATGCGACCTTCCTCTTTGATGTTCTTGTAAGTAGCCAAGCCAAGTTGCTTTGATAAACCGCCAGTGGCATACTGCGACACGCCATTTTCATTTTCTCGAAGAAGATGAGGAAGCGTTTGCTCAGCAGCTAGGTGGTGAGCTTATGCATACTCGTGAGTCTTTCTCCGATTCACCCATGAGCTGTCAAGAAGGACTGCCAAGCGATGGCATGGATTCGTGGTCCAGAGCCGTGACTCAGCTCTCGTGCAACGTTCCGTCTTAGGGTTCTTGCAGGTGGCCATAATTGACTCTTGATGGTCGGTAATGGGAAAATGAATTCCAGCACTTGCACGAGACTGGTGCCCAGACTGTTTGAGTGAGCAGTCTCCACTTGAGTTAAACAGTGAGTGGGCTTGGAAAATTTCTGGCCATGCCATAAGTTTTCCAAACGCGGTCGCATTCTCAATCAAGAAGGTATAGCTGATTGTTCTCCCTCTACCCAACCAAGGTGGTAGTAGTCGTCGCTGTGTGAGGTAGTTCGAAGTCGAAGGAATTTGAAGAAAACCCGAGGTCTGCGGCAATTTCGAGGCTGAAAGACTGTTTCTCTGTGATGAATTAGTATGCTTCAGCATGAAATGTCGGTAAAGATGTAGTGTTAAGAGTTTACTTACCATTTAGAAGGAGTGCATAGTGTGTTTGCTAGTTTGTCAATTCCAGGACAAAAAATTTGCTTGAAAGGTTGTTCCTTCAATTTTGGTCCTGGTGAAGAGTCAAAAGGGTTGCTCGAGTTGCAGGCAGCAATCCACAAAAAATAGAAAAGCTGGCAAGCCATTAGGTAGAATTATGGAGGTGAATCACATGCCTAGATAAGGTTGTTGAATGAATAGGCGAGGTCCGTGCTGTCCTGACTTCTCCTTCACCTTCTCGAATTACTTGGACTGTGAGTGTCCACAGGGGTCAATGTTGGACAGTGGGTACTTCGAATGACAAATTGTTCTTTCTCTTTTTTATGGCTGCCCTGTTTTGTATTTACTAAGGATCATAGCAGGTCTAATGAGAATGCAAAGTAATTAGCTGAATTTCATGTATAGAAGATAGAAGACTTATCTTGTGGTGAACAATAGGACTATGGCTTTTTGAAGTCTTTGTATTATTTAGCTAGAGACTGAGGCAGGTCATTATTATCAAAGCTGATTATGAATTGTATTCACCTATAAATTCAGCCTACAAAGACACGCCACATGTCAGACGACGAATATCTGAGGATTCCTCCTGCTCATCATCTTTTATGGGAATCTAGCACTTCTGTGTCATGTCAACCTCACTTCCTATTCTATATATCGATATTTTATAGGCCTCAGGCGGTACTATATGTCATGACTGTTCATCGATGCGTGTTAGATAGTAGGTAGCCCTAATTTTTGAGATAGAATGCTAGCAAAGTTCCATGTGAATGATTGAGAAGCAAGCTTCCGTGTGGGTTTTTGAAACTTATGCGGTCACTTGACATGATATACTTTTCTAGAAAAAGTGAGAAGTACTGCTTCATGCAAGTGAATAATATCGATAACATACGATAGAATCAATCCTTGACTAGGCTGATTGGAGGGCTGATGTGAATCAAGGAAGCCACTGCGGGATTGGCCCATTTCTACCCCCTCGCTTGGGACGATAACCTAGCGAATTGATTTACAAACACGCTGTGAGTCCATCTTCTTTTGTCTAATGAAGAGAGCCTTTTACCTTCACCGTTCTAAAATTATTTCACCCACGTTACAGAATAGAGATTGGAAAGTATCAGCTCCGAGTCCCTGTACAGGTCGCAAGCAAACAATACCATTACTTTTTTCCCTTGCCCATAACTTCTGATATCAAATTAAGAGTGATAGGACTACATGCGGGCTACAGACTTCTATTAAGCACATTCATTGTGCTATGATGACTACCAGGAAGTGTGAACGTTTCTTTCTACACACTGACGAAGCAAACTAGCAACACACATGAGAACGAGCAGCAAAAGCTTTGATCGACGTTAATGACTTTCTCAAGAATTGCGTTACTCATAATATTTTGATATGAGGTTCATTTAGGTACATCATGATTCAAGTGATTGCTCTCACACCAGAGCGGTACGTCGGGACAGGTAACACTCGCTACTATTTTCGTACACCGAATCGCTAGTTCTTTTCGATGCTTCCTCCTGAGTTCAAAGTCAAAATGCAAACAAAAGACTCAGGTTCGATATATAGTCATCAAAATCGCGACAGTCCGAATCTTTCGAAGACACAAGAGAGTATATGGCCGAAGAGGGGCTTACGGAGATTCATGTGCGTCCAAGAAACTCAGAGATTTTGACATCAGTATCGTCACAAATCAAAGCATCATGAATACTAAGGGTACACATGTTACATACCTATGCATACTCATAGATTTCATTTCTCCTTCTTTGCATAAAATCTGAGAGGTAACAAGCACTACATACCTACTATATCATAGCGCTTCTGTACTATATCTATACATGCCTACTCGTTGGTACTCATCCTTCTTCGATGTAGATCCTAATCATAACCTGGGTGATAAAATATACAAACATATAAATTATCATTTACATCAGGAATAGTCCAATGAATGAAGGTTAAAGTTGCCATTGCGTCGACGGCAAAGTGAAGTAAAGTGAAGCATGAGTGAAGTTTGAAGTGAGGTTTGAATATCAGTCAGATTAATTAGTCATCAAGTAAAACATGTTCTGGTGGTCCGGCAGCTCGGCCCCTCCATTCGGGAACTTCCGTTCACTCAGCTCAAATGTTTCTCGCAGATTCGATGGAGAAAGGTTCTGCCGAACATGGGGCCCAGAAAAATTATCTCCAAGATCTCAAAGTCTCCATTCTTTCTATTTACTTTGAACAACAAAAAGGCCTCTTCTCTTTAAATTTTGAGAGCTTTAAATATCCAGTTTTTAATTTGTTATATTTCATAAGCGTCTTTCATTCAATTGATTCAAGATGCAACGCGCTTTGAGTTCTAGAGCAAGAGCTTCGATCCTCAACGGATCGACAGCTTCAAAGCTTCGTCCTTTACAACAATTGAGATTTGCTCACAAGGTATGTTGGGTTAACTTCAGTTCATGTCGCTCTGAGATTTGACATAGAAATCTGGTGATTTTAAACTAATCACTTTTTTAATTTAGGAGCTCAAATTCGGTGTTGAGGGTAGAGCAGCTCTTCTTGCTGGTGTTGAGACTTTGGCAAAAGCTGTTGCCACAACCCTAGGTCCAAAAGGCCGAAATGTTCTTATTGAGTCAGCATACGGCTCCCCAAAGATCACTAAAGGTTTGTGAAACCCCCCGGCTGCCTAGTTGCAAAATTCTAATTGTTGGTAAATAGATGGTGTAACTGTTGCCAGAGCTATTTCCCTCAAGGACAAATTCGAGAATCTCGGTGCTAGACTCATCCAAGATGTTGCCTCGAAAACCAACGAGACCGCTGGTGATGGAACCACAACCGCTACTGTCCTTGCTAAATCTATCTTCTCCGAGACCGTAAAGAACGTCGCCGCAGGATGCAACCCAATGGACTTGCGCAGAGGTACCCAGGCCGCCGTGGAGGCCGTCGTTGAGTTTTTGCAAAAGAACAAGCGTGATATCACAACCAGCGAGGAAATCGCACAAGTTGCGACTATCAGTGCAAACGGTGATACCCACATCGGAAAATTGATTGCCAACGCTATGGAGAAGGTTGGAAAGGAAGGTGTCATCACAGTCAAGGAGGGCAAGACCATGGAGGATGAACTCGATATTACCGAGGGAATGAGATTTGACCGCGGTTATGTCTCCCCATACTTCATCACTGATACCAAGTCGCAAAAAGTTGAATTCGAGAAGCCACTGATCCTCCTCTCCGAGAAGAAGATCTCAAACGTCCAAGACATCATCCCAGCACTTGAGGCATCTACTCAACTTCGCCGTCCTTTGGTCATCATTGCTGAAGATATCGATGGAGAAGCTCTCGCTGTATGCATTCTCAACAAGCTCCGTGGTCAACTCCAAGTTGCCGCTGTCAAGGCCCCTGGTTTCGGTGACAACAGAAAGTCCATCCTCGGCGATCTCGGTATCCTGACCAATGCTACCGTCTTCACTGACGAGCTTGATCTCAAGCTCGAGAAGGCCACCGCAGACATGCTCGGTACTACTGGATCCATCACCATCACCAAGGAGGATACTATCATCTTGAACGGTGAGGGTAGCAAGGATGCCATTGCTCAGCGATGCGAGCAAATCCGAGGTGTCATGAATGACCCTACTACCTCCGATTACGAGAAGGAGAAGCTCCAAGAGCGTCTTGCTAAGCTTTCCGGTGGTGTAGCTGTCATCAAGGTCGGTGGCGCATCCGAGGTCGAGGTTGGTGAGAAGAAGGACCGATTCGTTGATGCTCTCAACGCTACTCGTGCTGCTGTTGAGGAAGGTATCCTTCCAGGTGGTGGAACTGCTCTCCTCAAGGCTGCTGGTCAAGCTCTTGGAGGTCTTAAGCCTGCCAACTTTGACCAACAACTTGGTATTAACATTATTAAGAGTGCTATCACCAAGCCAGCGCGCACAATCGTTGAGAACGCTGGTACTGAAGGATCAGTTGTCGTTGGTAAGCTCATGGATGAATTTGGATCCGACTTCAACAAGGGATTCAACAGCGCAACTGGAGAGTACGTTGACATGATTGCTGCTGGTATTGTCGATCCATTCAAGGTTGTCCGCACTGGTTTGGTTGATGCTAGCGGTGTTGCCTCATTATTAGGTACTACTGAAGTTGCTATTGTCGAGGCACCAGAAGAGAAGGGGCCACCAGCTGGTGGTATGGGTGGCATGGGCGGTATGGGTGGTATGGGAGGTTAGTACATTATCTCACCAGCTGTGATGAACTTTACGCTAACAATATGACAGGAATGATGTAAAAAGTTATTGGTCAAAATAAAATAAAATACCCGTCTGAGCCTCATCTGTCTGTGCGATTTGATTACTAGACAATTTGGTACCGGACAAAACATTGTATAACACCCCACTCACCCTTTTTCGTTCCTCGTCTTGCATGGCATCACAGAGCGATATGATGTGTTTAAGAGATTATGACCATGTATATTAATGAAACTAAAATAAAATATGAAAAAGTTCAAATCCATTTCTATGGCCACACAATGTGGTTGACTTGATTATTCAAGACCGGTGATGTGTTCGTTTGCGTGTCAATTTTCTTGGAATATATCTGCCTTGTGATCAAACCAGGAAAGATAGTATTAAGATGGCGGTAGCCTTCATAATGATGCACACCGTTTGATGACATTTACAGAGGTATCTGCCAACAGCTTCTTGGAGATAGCGTAGATTATTCTTCTGCCTACTACGTACTGTACATATCTATATGATAAGCGAATTTGGTTTGCCCATCTATCTAGGTGGCTATGTAAGTTCATCATGGATGAGATAAATGTAACTATGTAAATATAATCGGGAGCTAACAGCTTCAGACGTATTTCTTTGGCTTCTACCCAGGCAGCCATTGAAATTATTATACTATTACTCAAAGAATCACTATTTCAGATCTCCAGTTTTGACAACTACATATGTAGCTAGTGAGAGCTCCGTATATGCGTATCTTTGTTGCCCCAAAAATTACCGATAAAACGTTCAAAGAGTGTACAACTTTAAGGGGAAATTTCTCCACCCACAGATATCTACCTCATCATTGACATTTTATCATAACCAGAAGAAACACATCATTCGTAATTTTGACTTGATACCTATCCGCATTATCCAGCAGAGGCCATTTTCATTTTATATATCTTGAAGGGGGTTAAATCCTCCCAAAGTTGCCAGCTTTCCTCCATCCAGTTTGAGTGTGAAAGCACGACAAGGTATTTTTAGCGTCCCACTCAGGTGATCGCACACCGGCAAGTAACCCCACCAATATTCTTGACCTTCATCCCCGTTCGCAAAATCCAAAACTCTCCCAAAGATAAACATCTCCCAAGCTTTTCTCTCGCTCCTCCTACTACCTCGCAATTACCACAACATACAGTGGACTTTGGAAAGCAGGTTTCTAAACAATCTCTAACGTACGTTCGTAATTCGACAGCTTGGTCTTGACGCAAAGTCATCCGATTTGTTTATCTGTCTAGTTGTTAAGTATTAGGCATTCGCTGACTTTCTGTTGATTTGACAGTTTCTACCAACACAAATCGTCGCATAGACTTTCTTGACATCATGGTATGTAGCTTCTATTCCACCAACTGCCATACAACCGTTTGCTGATAATTCCGCTATAACAGTCTAACTCAGGGTCAGTTCACCCCACTACTCAACCGACTACCATCAGTGACTTGCGGTGACAACCGAGCTTGATGCGAATCTGTTCCCACCAATAATCTGAGCCGGGCCGCAGAGCATTAGTTAACAAGTCCACAGTATCACCGTCGACGATGAATGCATCGAGAAGTTCAACGAGATGAAGCTTCAAAAGAAGATCAAGTGGATCGTTTACAAGATCAACGATGAAGGCACAAAGGTTGTTGTCGACACTTCCAGCGAGTCGGCAGACTGGGAACCATTCCGTGAGGTCCTCGTAAATGCAAAGGCACTCAACAAGAACGTACGTTTGAAAGCTTGTTATTAGGGACCAAGCGCTGATAAACATTTTAGAAAACCCAGGGTAAAGGTCCCAGATACGCTGTCTACGACTTCAACTTCGATTTGGCCAATGGAGAGGGACAAAGGTAATTTTACTTCCATTTAGCTTTATGGATTGGGGGCTAATGTGTTACTAGAACCAAGCTTACTTTCATTTCGTGGTCCCCTGATGATGCTACTACCTTCGTAAGTTCTATCTTATAATATCGCCTTCTAGTACTAATCGATTTCTAGCCTAAAATGATGTACGCCTCTACCAAGGAATCTTTCAAGCGTGCCCTATCCGGACTTTCGGGCGATGAACTTCAAGCAAACGACGAAGCCGACCTCGAGGAGAATGAAATGTTGAAGACAGTCAGCAAGGGTACAGCCGCTCTCAAGGCATAGATACGGGCCTTATGGTTTTGGGAACGAACGTGACAGGAAGGAACATTGTTTCATTCGGTGCTTATTGCCTGCGATGATACGCATGGGTGTGAATTTATTCTTCTGAAGACGGATTGATCATTTCAGCGTGATGATATATGAAGACATTAAAAGCGACTTTTGCGGAAGTACTTGTTTCTGAATTGGCAAATTTGCCTGTCTTTCCAATTTTACATTGCCAAACTCCTCGCTATGTTTCCCCGTGAATATATGGACCTCATTCAGCGCTACTTTCCCAGGCTTTCTTGAATACTTCATACAGTTTGTTTCCCTGTTCTTCGTCCCTCAATCGTTGCACCAAAAAGCCCTTCAAATCTCCCCAGAACTCTTCCCCGGAAAGAGTTTCCAGTCCACTCGGCCCTTGTGCGACTGGTGCTTCCACTTCCTTACCGGGAGTCTCAACTTTTCTCACGGAAGCAGCTCCACCCATTACCATGATGCTAAATTCGACTTTGGTTTCCTCTTCACCAATGACATCTTTCAAAACTTTTGCATCCCCAACCGGTTTCTTGTTGTGAAGTACCCTCAATTTTTCCACGGGGATGCCTTCTTTCTCGGATAATGACTCTTTCAAGTTAAGAATAGAAGTATTTGGTGATAGTGTAGAAAGTGTTACGTCGAGAGGTGGGTTTCGTGATGACTTCAAAGATACCGTGATGCTACGTTCTTGTCCTGGAGTCAACTTTTGACGTTTGGCAGGAGGTTTTCTCATCTTTGGGAGAATGGCCTATGGTACTTGTTAGTATGGGAGCAACAACTCAAAGTAGAAGGGTGCGAAAGGTAAGGAGACGTGAATGATATAAAACAAGGTACACAAAGTAAGAGTGCAAGGGAAACATACTGCCCCTCTTGAGGGATAATTTCTTGGATCTTCAACATGATCGGCAGTAATTTTCGGAGACCGCGACTCGAGAGTCTGAATGAAGGACTTGGCAAATGTAAGTTCAGTCATTATGGATAATATTTGAAGAATTTAAGTAGAAATGTCTATAGTTCTTCGAAGCTCAACTGCGGGCAAAACAAGCTACAGACAATCAAATTCACAATTACCACTCCATCATGTGTGTGACTTGACCATAGCACAAGATAAAAGTCTTGGCATCGGAATAACGGCGACCGAGCTTGATAAGTTAAGTGCGCTAAACCTTATCTGCGAGAAAATTATATTCGTCTAGAAAAAAAGTTCCCTCAAATCGCATTTGCAGCATTTGCGAATCTTTACATTCAACTTTTCAATTTCTAGTACGAACATCCAAACAAATCATTCAAAATGGGTGTCGGAAGACGTATGAAAAAGCAGGGCATGCCCGAACCGCTCGATGAAGCACATTTTACAAATTTAAAAAGAAAAGCTGGGATGTCAGTAGCAGAATCTAGAGCAGAATCGATGCAATATGCTCCCGATCCTAACAAGAAACGTCGAACTTCGGAGAAAAAGTCCAATGGAGCTGCCAATGGCAAGAACTCGGCGGCACAAAACGCAACAAAGGGAAAATTTACAAACTCGTTACCGGTTCAGAAACCTTCTGCGAAAAAGTCGAAGAAGGCTGCACCATTGCCCATGTCAGATGAGGAGATGGAGGATGTCGATTCCGATGCGGCGGATCTCATGAATGACGAATTTGACGAATTGGATGTTTCAGATGATGATGGTCCTGGTCTTCCAGATGATTTCCTGGGGTCAGACAGTGGAAGTGATGTCTATGATTCGGATGATGATCACCCAAAAGCAATGTTCTCTGAGGATGAGGACGAGTCTGATGCCGAGGAAAAACTCACTGCTGCCAATATTGCTGGATTGTCAAGGAAATTGGATGAGCAAAAAGCAGAGGAGGCCGCAGAGGCACAAGCTGAATTGGAGGAAGCTGCTATGCAAACGAACATTGCAGGAGACAGACCCCATATATTCGACAGCGACGACGAAGACGGAGAGGCGCCTAAGACTAATGCTTTATTGGCACCTGATCTACAGCTTCTAAGATCTCGAATAAACGATACCATCCGAGTCTTGGATGACTTCTCGAATCTTTCCGAAGAGGGCAGATCCAGGGCCGAATACACAGCTCAATTGATCAAGGATATTTGCGCATATTATGGTTACTCGGAATTCTTAGCGGAAAAGCTCTTCAACTTATTCCCACCCAAGGAGGCTTTTGCATTCTTCGAGGCCAACGAAACCCCAAGGCCTGTCGTCATCCGAACAAACACCTTGCGAACACATCGAAGAGACCTTGCACAGGCACTGATTAACCGTGGAGTAGTCTTAGAGCCAGTGGGAAAATGGTCCAAAGTTGGTCTGCAAATTTTCGAGAGTGCTGTACCCTTGGGTGCCACTCCAGAGTACCTTGCCGGACATTATATTCTACAAGCCGCTTCTTCTTTCCTTCCCGTGATGGCTCTTGCACCACAAGAAAACGAACGTGTCCTCGATATGGCCTCTGCTCCTGGTGGAAAAACAACACACATTGCCGCGTTGATGAAGAACACAGGTTGTATCTTCGCCAACGATAGCAACAAATCTCGTGCTAAAGGTCTGATCGGTAACATCCATCGTCTAGGAGCCAAAAATGTGATCGTATGCAATTATGACGCCAGAGAATTTCCCAGAGTTATCGGAGGTTTCGATCGTGTCTTACTTGATGCACCATGTTCCGGTACTGGAGTTATCGCCAAGGATGCTAGTGTGAAGACGAACAAAACAGAACGAGATTTCCTCATGCTGCCTCATTTGCAAAAGCAGCTCCTTCTCTCAGCTATCGACTCGGTTGACCACGCAAGCAAGACCGGAGGTTACATCGTTTATTCAACATGTAGTGTCACAGTTGAAGAGAACGAGCAAGTCGTTCAATATGTACTCAACAAGAGACCAAACGTTAAGCTCGTGGAGACTGGCCTAACTTTTGGTAAAGAGGGTTTCACATCATATATGGGTAAAAACTTCGACAAGAACATGAAGATGACAAGAAGATACTACCCCCATGCTTATAACGTTGATGGCTTCTTCGTCTCTAAATTCAAAAAGACAGGTCCATCTCCCAAGGGCAAGCCTGGCGAGAAGGATGCTGAGAAGGAGTTGGATGAGTTGGATATTGACAAGACACCTATTAGAGAAACTGAGGAAGAGGATGCATTTGGAGGATGGGATGATGGTGAAGATGAAGAGTATATAGTGAAGGCGAGAAAGAACACCTTGAAACGAAAGGGTATCGATCCCAAAGCAGACAAGACAAAGGCAGACGCCAAAGTAGAGAAGACCAAGGAGGACGAGACAGTCAAGGCTGATACGCCCAAGAGGGAAACTAAGGAGAAGGCCAAGAAGGAAGAAGCTAAGAAAGATGAGACTTTGAAGACAGATACCACGAAGAAGGAGAGTAAGGAAAAGAAGAAGAGGGGAAGCAAATCCAAGTAGTGTAGTAATTTTAAAGGTTTCGTGATGGGTGTATGAGTTCTTTCTCGGAAATGATACTTGCTGCATATGCTGGCGTTTTGGGTTTGGAGGGAAAATAATCAATAGCCTTCTTCTGTTGTCATACAAAATACAAAATTATTAAGCGCATTCCAGTTAAAGATGTTCCCACTGCATTTTACATTTGTTGAAAGGGTGCCTTGACTAACATAAATATTTTGAATCTCTTTGATCATTTAGCCCATCGGCGTCTCAAGAAACCCCCTACAAAAAGATATATCCATAAGAATAGGAGCTAGATTACTAAGTAATTTGAGCGAGCTACATCATTTCACTTTGTAAAATATAAATGCCCTCTTCTAGATTCATTCTTTTAAAGAAAAACAATTTCACATCACTCTTCCATCTTGAAGCCGTACATTCAATGGCTGTGAGCCTGTTATGGACTAATAATGTCCCTGGTTCTTTATTGCAATCGCCCTCCAGCTCTTTCCGCATCATCCCGTGAAATGACACCTCAATTCCACTGACTATCTTCAGGGCGGCTCATCTCACTATACGGACGCGAAGGTCTTGCCTCATCGACATACTATTCGTCGACCACGATGTTACAAACACTTCTCTATCTTCTGCTACAACCACAGTTCCGTGATACCAAGACATGCGATTCATCTAACTCGTTGATCGGTAATAGCTTAGGGGTAATATCAAGAAAGAGAAGGCAAGATTGCAATCCGCTCACGGCATACCCTCGGCTGCAGAACTTTACCCAGAAAGACATCCGCTAACTTCTGCAAACGTATTTTCATAACAAAGTCCCGTTTGACTAGCGAAGCAGGCTATCAGAAGCAAAATCAACTCATCATCAACCCTATACTCTATCTCTCTCTCGGTCGTACTCCATCTCGTGATCAATCTAAATGCACTTCTACAAACGAGAAGGGGCCTGAGAGTTGTCATCATCGATAACTCGCTAACATCCATGCAAACTTGGGTGGAGCGCTGTGTGCAATGGAGATGCGTAAATGAGGGGTTAGGGCTGGTACACCCCATGTTTCTTCGTTTCTGATCCTTCTCTCCCGCTCCTATCACTATCGATCTAATTTTGTGAGCTATCACATTCCTATGAGGTTACTGGGGAAATTTGAATATGAATATTTGCTTTTGACTGTCCGGAGAGGGTTGGAAAGCCTACACTTGTCCTCGTAAGATTGCAATCAAGAAACTGGCTTGGAGAAGTACCGCCAGCTTAAATAGGGTTATCACGAAGTCTTTTTCGTTATATGGGACAAGAATTCAGGATAAAGGCATCTCATAATATAGAGAATAGATCTAGAAATCGAAAATCTTTTCCGTTAGACCGCAGTATGCACTGATACTTAAGTAGCAACAGAATTATTGAACCCTTGATGACTTATTCTGATGTGTGTTGCGCAAGTTATAGTAGAGTCTATCTTGGTGAATCTCTTTGCCCCCTCCCCCCCTCTCTCTCTCACACATCATCTGCTCGTTATTTTGGGGCCTAGCGATAAAATTATTATACGAAAAGTTCGTATGTGGCGTAGAAGTAACGTCTCTATACTAGATTAAATCACAAAGTTACATGGTAGGTTACTTGGTAGGTCATATGGTAATTTATGAGAGCATAAAAGTAATTGTACAATATAAATCGGGACAAAATAGAGCCTTCAAAGGAAGGTGAGATCACAAAGGGTTTCTCCTTTGTGTCCGCGCTTTAATCTCCATTCACATTCCTAGGCACAAGGGGTCTAATTCAACGTGAGCTTGCCCACAATGACATTGTAGTCTGGCATATGCTAAGGGAAGTAGGTTGCTCCTTTCTTTCTCTAAACTCCACTCTTATTGCTAAACACTCCAAAATCATTGTAAGATACAAACAAAGTATACGGGACTACGTATTGCTAACACATGACCCTTGCGGGGTCTGAAAAGGTTCGACAAAAACTTTGGCACGATGATTGCTTCGCAGACTCCAAATTATTTGAAGAGTTAACGCTAGATTATTATTATTTGTGTAGCTTTGTCATGCAAAGCATATGGTATCATAATAGCAAGAAATCTCAAAATGTACGAACGCTCAAACTCCACAAGTAACTTCGAAACTTCCTTTCATCGATCAGTATTCAACTTTTACCGGCTCGAAGGGGATTTTGAGCGATTCAAAGACACGATTCCATCGATATTCGATGATACGATTTGAACTCCGTCCTTCACCCGGGTTCCTCCTCCACTCAGGATACCATTCATCCGTAAATTCGTATCTGAATTCCTTCAACTTTACTTCCGCTCTTTCTAACTGAGTTTCATTGACACTCAATGGTGTGCTGCAGGCAATAGGAATCGGGTTCCTTCCTCGCCTGGCCCACGCTAACGCGCCTCCTTCACGGAAAGCCTTGGAATTTGGTGGGTGACTTTCGCTTTCTGGAATCATTCTCACTGGAACACGAAAGCTTCTATTTGATTCTCCAGAACCAATGACGTAGAATCGTTTGTATTTATCGAGATTTGCATAAGCCCATCCTGCAAACCAAGCGACCAACTTTTTCTCGTCATTTTGATCGATGAATGGAGGCGCAAAGAGAATTGGACTCCGCGACTTCTCTTCGGAAGGGTCACGATCGAATGGAGATATATTGGCAGGAAGATCCTTGCGTAAAATATCACAAAGAAGCCAATATAGATCGATTCTCGCCGTACACTGTTCGTGACTTAATCCCCTTTCGCTTAATTTAGAAAGCATCGACGGGTCGCCTGCAAGGCTATTCATCAATTCTTTTTGCTCCTCAGCCTTCAAAATCGCAAGTTCCATAAGAAAGCTCGGAAGTTCGTGGCAGCACAATACTCTGACTGAGCCACTTATTGAGCTTTTGATCTTCTTTTGGTACCATTGCAAAAAGCTAAGTGTCATGACTGGTTCTGCAACCAAAAAACTTGGTGTGAGGAGTATGGTATACCCTAAAGGTAAGAGGCGTTTTGTTATAACTTGGCCCAGTTCAGATTGTTTTTGCATTTGGTAGAATGGCACTTTAGATGTGGTATCTTGAATACACCAAAATGTATAGTTCATCCCGTCTAGCGTCATGCCATGGATGAGATCTGTATCAGAAATAAGACTGAGCGCAGACGAGTGTATCAGCACAGCTCCAGCTTTGACGTGTTTTTTGAAATGGTTCCAGCATCCTGGTTTCTGATAGCTATATATCTTGCCGTCGTCTTTTGAACGGCTCTTGAGCCAAGATGCTATCAATTCCGCAAGAGGCTGTTTAGACGCAGGAAATATTAAACAAAAGTTGAAGGTGATAGGTTTCTTGAGTTTCTGGTCCTTAAGCTTCAGGTCTATGATTAATTTTTCGTAATCAAGATGATGGAAGCTTTTCATCATCATGTCACTGGGGGAAAGAGCTGTCAATGAAATTTGATCGATTATGGCAGATTCCATGGAACATGAAATAGGGCTTTGAGAACCGAATACCAAGTATTTCAATGTAGCGCCAGTTGGTAGATCAGGCTTTGTATCTAAATACTTCCATTCTTCAGCCACGGTTGGATAGAGTAGAATAATGTAATTGCTCGAAATGCACGCCAAACCAGACATCTGAGGACAGAGATGCTTAGCCATGTTTTTAACCGTGTCGCATACAAATTGGTCAGTAGGATCGGTGTTGATACTCTCTTGCCAATAATTGGAGTGTTGGATATGGCTGTATCTCGATTTGAAATCATATATGGTACATATTTGGTTGAAATCCAAAATCTCTGCACTCGCAAACGTTCTTGCCCAGTCTGAAGTATTCAGTGGAAGGCTTGTGAAGTCGAGCTTGATAGGTTGCGTCTGTTGGCCAAACGTGACTGTCTTGATTCTGGTACCTGTGATAATTACCTCACTCACTGAATGATCATCGACGTATTGTTCAGACTCTGCGATATTTGACTCAAGCGGTAGAAGATCAGGCAATTTATCCATCTCGAAATCCATTGTATCGTCGTCACCGAACATATGAATAGGTTTTGACTGATGTAGTGAAGGATGTACATTTTTTTCCCCTGAAATTTCGGAATTGATGACTTTAGGGTGATGTTGGCTAATGTGGGATACAGAACGATTATTTTGAATAGAGTCGTGCGCGAAAGAACAATCTGCACCATTGCAACAATGACCCTGAATCCAGTACTTACAAGGAACAGAACCAGGTCTTGCTGCTACTCGGAGATCGTTATCGGTCGAATGTGCCATTTTGCAGTCAACTCCTTTTGTGCAACTATTATCATGGAACCAGTAATAGCAGACCCACTGCGGACCATCGACATTGTCTGAGAGCTGTGGTTTGGCTGGCATGGTTTTGGTAGATGGATCTGACGCTACCCATCCGGGAGGCGGCTTCCTGACTGGAATATCGGGATTTGATTCGTGCAGAGACCTACATGTATCACCCCATTTGCAGTCTCCATTCAGGTTATAGAAGAAGCAAATTTTCTGCGACCCAAACCATCCATCTGGGGGCGGGGCAATAGGCAGCAGGGAATCGTTTTGGTGGATATACTTGCAGCTAGTATCAGTGCATCCACTGGGTTGAGTAAAGAAGAAACAGATCGTTCGCTTCTCGTACGGAATATTCTGTACCTCTTCCCATGACATTTCAGATGGGTGCAGTGCAGGAAGTCGCTGGGAGGCTTGTTGCTTCTCGAGAGGCGACTCAACTGGCTCCATGGGCACCTCATTCTGAGGAGCAGACGGGGTTCTATGAAGAGTGCCTGGTCGTTGTACAGATGAGGATGAAACTTTCGAAGGATTTATCAAGCCACCAGGAATAGCAGTAATATCTGGTGATTTGTCTGCTATAGTTCTCCCAGCTAGTTCCACTTTTCTCAGTATATGCCTATTCTTAAAATGACGCTGGTCTTTTGACGGATCTGCCGCTGCTTCAATTAAACTCGCTTTTTGTTTTCTGGGCGCTTTTCCACCAAGAAAAACATTATGTGAC